AGATGGCCGGAGGAACGGGAGGTCAGACAGATCTGACGGCTGAAGCTCAGCCCAACCCTACTGCGAACTCGGGAAGACGACGAAGATTAGTACCGTCGCACTGGAGCTGCTACTACAACGACTGTCAGCACTTGAGCAAGGAATCCAGACATTGCGGAATGGCGATGCACGAAACCTGACGAGGTTTCAGCTTCAGCAGCAGTGGAAAGTAGTAGCAGCAGTAGCAGAAGCATCCACAGACGCCGCAGGAGCCGCTGTTGCAGCGGTCGTCGCCACCTCTGAGTTGTCTTCGGACCCTTGGCTTTCCTTCCCCTTCGGCAGACCGCTCATCGTCTCCTCATGCATACGGTCCTACGTTTCCTCCTCCGGACTCGTCTCAGGGTCGCTATCCTCCTTGGTCACGGCCGTTTCCTCCTGTTGTTTAGTCCCCTAGGAACTTTCGTTGTTCCCCGGGTGCTCGTCACTCGTCTCCTGTTCGGGACCTCCGTTCTGTTTTACTTCGTCCTAACCCTCCTCGTTCTCCGCCTCCGTCTGTCCTCCCGTTGCTCCTTCGTCAACTCTCACTGTTTCCTCCCACCCTCTCACTGACTACTACCGTACTTCTCGCGCTGTTGTCTCACGTGATCTCTCCTCTCTTATCACGGACCCTACTGCCTCTCCGTCGTCTGTCTCGGCTCTTGTTGCCGCTGTCACTGCCGCCACCAGCCACCTTGACTATGCCACCTGCTTGGTGGCTGCTCATCCTTCCCATCCTCTGTCCGTCGGGGTTGATTTTGCCCTTGGCTGTGACGTCCTAGAGTACAGGCTGTTTGAGCTGTAGTTCCTTGCAGCCGCTTCTCCCCATCTCTGTGCCATGCTGCTAGCCTCTGAGGGAGACCCTGACGCCCTTGACATACCGACTCCTCGCACGTACCGTGAGGTAGTGTCAGGGCAGTGGGCCTCTCAGTGGATAGCGGCCATGGACTCAGAGATGGCGTCCTGGAGATCCACAGGCACTAACGTCAACGCAGTTCCCCATCCCAGGGCGAACGTAGTCGATGTCATGTGGATCTTTAAGGTGAAGTGGCCGCCTGGATCGCCACCTGTCTTCGAGGCGCGCTACGTGGCTAGAGGCTTTAGTCAGCGTGAGGGAGTTGACTTCTTCCATACCTTCTCCCCGACCCCAAAGATGACCACTCTTCGGGTGTTACTTCACGTTGCACCTCAGCGAGACTACGAGCTGCACACACTGGACTTCTCTACTGCCTTTCTCTGGCTACGCCGTCCTCCTGGATTCACGGGCACTTCACTGGCACTGAGACGACAAGTCTACGGTCTCCGTCAGGCGCCCCATGAGTGGCACGACACTCTTCGCTCCACTCTTGCTGACCTCGGGTTCAGTCCTTCGTCCGCCGACCCGTCACTGTTCGTCCGCTCTGGCTCCACTCCTTTCTTCGTCCTCGTCTACGTCGAAGACTTGGTCTTCGCTACAGCAGATGGGGTTGCTCTGGCTTTTGTGAAGTCCGAACTGCAGAAGAGACACACTTGCATTGACGTTGGTGAACTTGCAGAAGCGACCTACCTTGGCTTGCAGATCACTAGGGACAGAGCCGCTCGCACCATTACACTCTCACAGTCACACATGGTGCAGCAGGTCCTTCAGCGGTTCGGGCTTTAGTTCTCCACCACACAGCCCACTCCTCTTGCTGTCGACCACAGACTCACCGGCCCTTTTCCCGACGAGCCTTTTGAGTCTAGTGGTCCCTCCGCAGAGCTTGTGGGCTGCCTCATGTACCTGATGACATGTACTCGTCCGGACCTCGCATATCCTCTCGGCATTCTGGCTCGCTTTGTTGTGACTGGGAGACACCGTCCCGTTCACTGGACGGCCGCTAAGAGGGCAGTGAAGTACCTGGCGAGTACATCAGGCGTGGGGCTTGTGCTTGGAGGACTACAACCTGTGCGAGTTACCGGGCACACTGAAGCGTCGTGGGCGGACGACCTCCAGACCTAAAGATCTTCTCAGGGCTACTGATTCAGCCTCGGCTCTGGTGCTGTCTCCTCGAGGTCTACGCGTTTGTCATCAGTTTCCTCGTCCAGTGTTGAGGCTGAGATCTACGCCGGTGCCATGGTTGCACAGGAGCTCCGCTGGTTGACCTTCGTGCTTACTGACTTAGGTGAGCGGCCTAGCTCTGCACCGACCTTGTTTGCTGACAACAATGCAGAGTGAAGCACATTGACCTACGGTACTTTCAGCTACGAGAGCTTCAGCGACGCGGCCAGGCACGCTTGTTTTTGTGGCCTCAGCGGCCAACACTACAGACATCTTCACCAAGGCTCTCCCGCCTGGTGATCACCACATGTTCTGCTCAGTGCTTGGTCTTGTTCGCACTGGTTCTGCTTTAGTGTATCCTTGCTTATGTTGTTTGCATATATATATATGTATGATGAACTTATCAACTGGCCTTGTGGCCATTTGTCTCAGAGGCTGGCTAGTCGTACCACCCCGAGTTGTATCCAGGCCCTACGATATCAGGATTTTTCCCCTGAAATTCCTGATTTTCAGGGATCTTTTTGTACCTACCCTGATTTTCCAGTGTTCAGCTTTTTGGGGGACTGATTTTTCAGCCTTTAGGGGCCAGATGACTCTGAACTTTAAGGTTTTTTTTTTAAGGGACACTGATTACACTACGTTGTAACGAAACTGACACTGAATGCGATTCCTACACGTTCCGAGTGTAGTTGCCCGGAAGTACAGGGAATCTCAGATTCGCGCGGTGTCAGCACCGCCTGGCGGTGACTACCAGACAAATTTGCCCCGTGTTATTCACCTGGCGGTGCTTTGTTGGCGCGCTTGGTCCGATCATTGGCCACTTTTGCAGCATTATGTGGGTTGACCAATGACAAGTTTGCAACAGAGCGATGCTGGCAGGCTGCGATGCGAGGGTTTCTGGCCCATTGCTTGCACCTGTGGTCCTGTGGCCCGTTTTGTCTAGGTCGTGCTGGCAAGCACTGATGAATCCACGCCGCCCAGCCGTGCTACCTGCCATCCAGGCTCCCATCCCATTCTGCTCAGGGCTTTCCTTCCATCCGCTTGGGGTTTCATCGCGTTCCTGCCTAGTGTTATCTTATTTAAAGTTCAATATCAGCCCTTACAAAAAGGGAACACTGATGCATCAGACTTTTTTTGAAGGTAACACTGAATTTTTAGGCATTTTTTTTTGGGGACACTGACGATCAGGGATTCTACACAGAGGGACCCTGATGCATTAACGTGCCTAAAAGTGAATCATACGCCCTGGTTGTATCTCTTGCTTTGTTGCTCTTGTAGACTGGTCTTATGACCTCCTGCCTCAGTGGTTGGACAAGTTGATCCGCCCTGAGTTGTTGCTTTCCTTGCTTGTGGCATGCCCCTCACTCAACCTATGGGGGTGTGTCAATGTTATATGTGGTTGTTAGGCTGTCGTGAGTTGCACTCCGTAGGGTACAAAACCTTCTAGGTTTGTATATTATATCCAACTCCTACTAGTCACCTCATTCCGCTGTTTCACTATTTGAGATACCCCATCAATAAGCTAGAGCAGAAAAGGGGGCAAGATTTCTTCCTGAGTTCTCCAAGGCGACCAAGAAAAATGAAAGCGCATCTCATCATAAGTAATCACCATTGAGGCGCATTAACAGCAGACGCTACCATTAGCATGACAGATCGTTCGAGCCAAACTCGCTGGTAATAACATAACAAGCTATTATGAAGTTTAAGATTAAGGATGTGAGTGAGAGCGAAAGTTTACCCAGCCCCTCCGCCCCCCACACGACATCTCTTGACCACTCTCAAACACACCATGGTCAGTGTCACTAATGCATTTCTGTGCAGCCAGCACAAACACCCTTTCCGGGTCATCACTTTCTTGATTGCCAACCCTTCCATTGCCAATTGCACCGTTGCCAACCGCACCATTGCCGATCCCACCGTTGCCAACCCCACCATTGCCAACTCCCATGTCGTCCGGCATGAGGAAAAGGTCATCCAAGCATGCATCTGCCTCGGAGGCATGCATGCATGAGTCCATGGAGCAGCAGCTCATGCTCCCCATGGCCACACCCGTGCTTTCAACCCTATTTAGTGGACAAGTGTCGGCGCGACTATTTTGGAAGCTAGACTCTGCCCCTGTGCTCGTGCTAGCACTCACGGGTGCATGTGTCGTACCATCAGGAACGATTATCTTGTGCCCTGCCATCGCACGCAGCCCATGCAGAGTTGTATGGCCTGTGGGAAGGCCCGCAAGCCCGGGAAGGCCTGGAATAAGAGTGCTGCTGCTTCTGTAGGTACCGGTGCTGCCTCCATAGTCTGCCATGTAAGGAGCTGGCTGCTGCTGCTGCTGCTGCTGCTGCTGCTGATGGTGACGCGGCTCCAACTGCTGTTGTTGCTGCTGCTCCAACTGCTCCTGCTGCTTCTGCTCAGGATGATGCGGCTCCAACTCCTGCTGCTGCTGCCCCCACTGCTGCTGCTGCTGCTCCAGCTGCTGCTGCTGATGTGGCTCTGACTGAAGATGCTGGTCCTGGGAAAAAAACAGATGAGGGCAGCTCGGCCGATGAGCCGCATTCTGCTGATCACATGCCGTGTTCGGTTCCATGGCCCAGGCGTCATAATGCAGGACAGGCACCGTCCAGGGATCTCTGCCACATGCAGGGATCGGGTCCGTATGACAAACAGTGCATGCCCGCTCGGCCGAATGACAGACCGTACCAGAACAAGGCAGGCATCCTGGCTCCACCTTGGCTGCACCAGGGTTACAGCTACACGTGGTAACCCCAGGGTTGCTGGTGGTTGCACAAGAAGCAGCCAGCATGCATGGGGTTGATGCAGGGTTGAGCGCTGGTGAGCTGGCAGTATTGGGGATGGGTTGGCAAGGCCAGCTGTACTCAACGGGCTCGCTTTTCCCGGTGAGTTGATGAGAGGCGGGGACTGTTGCGACGTAACCACATGCGGTGGTGTCCGCACTTTGCAGCACCGCGGTTTGATGTTCGCAAGGGAGCGGGTTGGCATCAGGGTCTGCAGTGTGAGGTTCGCACTTGGGTATGCCGGTGGTGGTTACGCCAGTGGTGGTTACGCCAGTGGTGGTTATGCCGGTGGTGGTTATGCCAGTAGTGGTTATGCCAGTAGTGGTTATGCCAGTAGTGGTTATGCCAGTAGTGGTTATGCCAGTGGTGGAAATACCAGTGGTGGTTGGAGTCTCCTGGGTACGAAGATGTTCCGTGCAGAGGAGAATTGAGGGCGCTTGAAGCTGATGCTGGTGTTGCTGATGCTGATGCTGGTGTTGCTGCAGCAGCGGCGGCGGCGGCAGCGGCGACTGTTGCTGTGGCGGCTGCTGCTGCTGCTGATGCTGCAGATGCTGTTGCTGCTGCTGTTGATAGTGGTACTGCTGGTGTTCCTGCTGTTGTTGCCGTAGCAGCCCCTGCCACTGCTCTGCACTGAGTTGCGGCTGCTGGTACTGCAGAAGCTGCTGCTGCTGCTGCTGCTGCTGCTGCTGGTGGTGGTGGTGGTGGTGGTGCTGCTGCTGCTCCTGCTCCTGCTGGTGACGCCTGAGCTCCTGGAAACCCGTGCAGCTGGAATCACGACTCTGCTGGTTCCCGACCGGTGAGGCTGTTGGGTCAACAAGCATGGGGCGTGCTTGATCGGTCTGAGTATACATTGAGTCATCCACTTGAATGAATGAAGGCTGGGGCGCGTTTGGCGCATCACAAGCCAAGCAGGTGCATGAAGGTCCTAGCAACGGAGGGAAAGGGGATGGAGGAGGCGGCGCGATGTTACTACTAGAAGGGTGACGTGGCAGAAATATATCCTTAAGAGGCAAGTAAGGAGCGTTAAAGGGCTGTGTGTGACCAGCTGAAGATGGAACAGCTGCGACGCAAGGACCGGGTGAGGGGGTGATTGCTCCATATGCCATAGGATTTGCGAGAGGCTGAGAATGGCTCATAGCAGGAAGACAAGCTGAGGTGGAACGGAGCAGTGTAGCAGCAGCAGGAACACAGGTTGCAGCACCAAGGGGAGCGCTGGTTGTAACGGGTGCAGAGGATGTGAGAGGAGCACAGGATGTAGCAAGAGCGCATGGTGATGTAGCAAGAGCGCATGGTGATGTAGCAAGAGCGCATGGTGATGTAGCAGGAACAGGAGTAACCAGCGCGAGGGTTGGACCGGAAGGGCAGCTCGCAACAGCAGGGCAGGGGGAAATGGAGCGGAAGGGCCGGGTTGTAGAAGCATCGGGGGCTGGCGGTGGGTGGTTGTGCGAGCCGTGGTATACTGTCCTCACCACCACACGCATCTCAGTCCTTGGCATCTCCACAGCATCAGTCTCCTCCTCAGCAGCTGCAGCCCCTTCTCTGGAATTCAATGCTCTGGCAGCAATGCTGCCTCTGAATGTGGCCTTGGAGACGGTCCCAACGCCTTGACGCGTCTGCGTGGGGATGCTGGTTGAGCGCCGATGCCTGGCCTCTCCAGCCACGCGATCCTCCGTCTTCTTTGCCTGGCAGCCGGTTGCTTGCTTGGACGCGCACACGAAGTACAGCCTGCAGGCACGAAAGGACGACGGGGTAGTCTGCATGAGATTAATACTACTGGAAGAAGTAGTAGTGCTGGCAAGGCCATGGCACGCATCTATCCGTGCCATGCTTGGCAGCCGCTGCGGCAGAATGTGGGAGCATGTGGGAGCATGTGGGATTTTGATGTGGGAGAATGTGGGGAGCATGGGAGAATGTGGGGAGCATGGGAGAATGTGGGGAGCATGGGAGAATGTGGGAGCATGAAGGAGAATGTGGGGAGCATGTGGGAGAATGTGGGGAGCATGTGGGAGAATGTGGGGAGCATGTGGGAGAATGTTGGGAGCATGTGCCAGGAGAATGTGGGGAGCACGTGCCCGGAGAATGTGGGGAGCATGTGGGAGAATGTGGAGAGCACGTGCAGGGAGAATGTGGGGAGCATGTGGGAGAATGTGGGAGCATCAGAAAGGAGAAATAACAGCTGTCCCACATTCGCTGTGAAGAACGTCCTGTCCGACCGCTATAACTCCCTCACATAAAACACTGTTAGACTGACGCTCTGTTATGACTGTCAGACTATCACTCCCTCACATAAAACACTCATAGTAGATGTCAGCTATCGGTGCATGGGTTTACCTTTTCATTTGCTGACCCACGATGCGCTTGTGAGAAGTCTTTTTCCATTTGAACCCCTCATGATGGGGCACTTGCGGTTGATCGGCCGTCGCGTGTTGGAGCTGGTTGCGAGCCATCGTGCGATTTTGGTTCAGGCCCATAATGATCGGCGGTGGAGGCGTCAACTCTACGTCAGCACCATCATTTTCATGCGCGGCGATTCCTGAGCTGGATCCGCCGGCAGCCGAAGCCCAAGTGGCAGCAGTACTACTGCCGGTAGTAATCGGTTGGGCCCATCCTGCCGGGGAATAGATCACAGCATGCTCGTGTTGCTGCTGCACTTGCTTCTCGGGACTAGTAGGTCTAATTTGGATGATCATGTTCGGCGAGTCGGAATTTGAGCTAGCGGTTTTCATGGCGGGGCGTACGACAAAATGTGGCACATTTAGACGAGGAGGAGGAGTTCAAATACCAGGATCTGTTTCCATCGATTGAAGGGAGAGTATTTGAAGGAATGGAGCGCACGGGCATTCATCCGATGATATCGATGATGAGGAGTCCGCACGCGGACTCGGATCACAATCAACCTTTGAGTCAAAACTGCAAAGTCCCTCGATCTGCAATGCGGCGCTTAAGGTCAACGGCCTATTTCAACGCGCTTTGAACGCGTTATTGGGGTGCTGAAATGCTGTCAAGCAACTAGTTGAAGGGTTCCAGGCTAGCAAAGCTTGGCTGGCTGGCTGTGATGGAGTTTGGGATGTTGGGGGGAAGGGGGGTGGAAGAGATGGGTGAATGGAAGGACGGGGGGAGAAGAGGGTTGTGGAGGGGGGGAGGAAAATGCTCTCCACAAATCAGCCAACAATGCAATTCGCGCATAATTTGAAATCGGGTGGCTGCATCTTGGTGCCATGCAGCGCCAGCAAAGGATCCGGGGGGCAAGGGGGAAGGAGGGGAGAGATGGAGCTGGAGGACGTGCACACAGTTCCAGTGCATGTTGTGGAATGGCTGGCATGGTATGGCTGATCATGATTCGTTCCAAGATTTGCGGAACCAGGGTGTTTCATTACGTTCATCCTGCAAAAAGCATGCTTTTCACATCAACTTCTCATAGCTTGAAAACAAGGAGCGCCCTTACAATTTCAGAAACACTGCTTATTTTGAGCTCGCTAAGTTAAACCCGTGTGAACTCAGTCACGACTGCCGATGTCTTTTCACATTCCTTGTAATGTTTAGGGCATTCAAACCCGCGGGCCAAGAAGTTCAACCTTAGGAAGGTTGGTTGGGGTGAGCAATGCAATTGGCCAAGATTTTGGGTGTCAGGGCCAAACTCAACCGAAGTTAGGAAGGTTGAACCGTGTGAAATTCTTTTCAATTTTCAACTCGCCAGGTCCGGAAAATTCTGTCATTGAATCCCCTACAATGTGGACACGAGGGTAGGCGGATTACGGTCGACAGCAAATTTGCTGCACTGCCCAATTCGAGTTGCTGAATGTCGTGTCACAGAAACACTGAAGGGTTTGAACAGACGGAGAATTCACTGGTTTCCGCAAAGAGCTCACAGAAATTAAAACGAAACTGCAACCCATAGGTTGCCTCTCGGGTCGCCTTCCCCCACGGACCCGCTTTCCACCCCTGTCCTTGGTTTAGGTAAACGTAAAATTTGTAGTTGCGGATTCGAATAGGGACGAGGAATCCTGCAATCTCTCAAGTTTGCCTATTTGCGCAGTGCAAACGCAGGGTAAATAGGGACAAAGCTCTGCGCAATATGGGGCAGATCGACATGTTTCGGTAACGACAACATAGGATATTCGGATGCTTGTGTTGGGTGGTGGGCGAGTGGTGATACAAATGTTTCCTGATTAAAGCCGCGGTGCAACTTCTTAGGACAAAAACTGCTTGTGCGTAATTGGACTTCTATTGGTCGAAAAAACTCGAGTTTCGCAACAAGACAAACCTCTCGCCTGTGAACTGCCTAGGTCAACCTCTTCCAAGCTATAATACTTTGAGTTGAACTTGATAGTTGCACCGCGGCTTTAAGGCACGTGACATTCCATGATTCTTTGACACTGATATGGACATTGTTAATAAAGACACCACCACGCCAGGCTAGACGTTGACTGAGAGAGGTCAACGGTCAGAAGTGTACAAACATTACAGACAGACCATCAGCAAGTTTCAATCATAACCCCGACGCACAAGGCTAAAATAATTATTACACGGCGCATAGTAATTTCCAGCATTACAACACTTCGATAACGGATGGGTCAAACTACACCCCCGACACAGCAATACCTTCCTGGTAAACTACTGAAAGTAGGAAGCTCTTGCACAACGACATGGTTGTTCTAGAAAAGGTACCATGTAAATGTAGTAAGGGCTATATTACAAGAAAGATGTGCATTCTGTGCAGTGAATGTGTTCCATAGGGGTAATTGCAACACACCAGTGATTACACACAGCGATCACAGCCACCACAGCATGTGGATTAGCAGCCACATCATTGCCGAGACAAAACTGTAGCATCATAAAAGAACGTGTGGAGGTATGGAGGGGCCAAGGAAGTGCGACTTGGCTGCCTTGACTCCCTTGTGGCAACCAGCATACTCCCAACCGACACAGGCCAGTGGGAGCAGGAGAGTGAGAGTGAATTAAGGAGCAAGAGGGTGCGTGTGAGTGAGCGCGCAAGAGGGTGGGTAGGAGTGGCGGGATGACATGGCTGGTCACAGGGAAATGTGTGGAGGGGGGGAGAGTGCGGAGAGGTGCAGATTGGCAGACATGACAGCCATGCCAAGGAACATGGCCAGCACTGCCCTGTGATGGCTTGCCCAGGAACCTGGCCCAACTGCACTGAGATGCCAGGAACATGGCCAGCACTGCCCTGCTTGACTGGTGAGATGCCGTTCTTTAGAGCTCTCTCGATAAAGCACCGCCATGCAACGGCGTCCCCTGGATGCCTGGATTCTGAAGTGACCACAGTGAGATGGGTATGGCTGTGAACGGCAGAATGGCTTTTGAGGCGCCTCAAAAGTCTTGAAATGGGTGTGGCTGTCAAAAGCCGAATGGCTGGTCACAGGGAAATGTCCGGTGGGAGGGAGAGTGCGAGGAGGTGCAGGTTGGCAGACATGACAGGCAATCGCAGGAACATGGCCAGCACTGCCCTGCGATGCCCCGTGGGATGGCGTTCTACTATTGTGCTCCATGCTTAAGTCACAAAGAGATGTCCGGTGGGAGGGAGAGTGCTAGAAGGTGCAGATTGGCGGACATGACTGCCATGCCGAGGAACATGGCCTGCACTGCCCTGCGATGCCCCGCGTACTCAAAGGCCAGAGGCAGCATCTCGTGCAGCACTAGGAACGCCATGATGCCGCCCACTGCATTCAGAGGAATGCAGAGGAATGCAGAGGGATGGAGAGGAATGCAGAGGAATGGAGAGGGATGGAGAGAGATGGAGAGGGATGGAGAAGGATGGCAGGGGGTGCAGATAGATAGAATGGGATGGAGAGGGATGGAGAAGGATGGAGAGGGACACATAGGGATGCACAAGCCAGCACTGTCATTGCAAGCAGAGTGAAAGAGGCAGAACAAGAAACATACCAGCGGATACAACACAACTGAAAACAGGCAGCGTGAGAGATCAGAGCACGCGCCACCAGCGAGGCCGGCAAGAAGCCTTTCAATGATGTCTTGGGCGAGCGAGGCCGCGAAGAAGAGGGCAACAAAAACACCCCCCAGGGTAGAGACCTTAGTTGGCATTTTACGTTTACGAGGGTTTACGTGTACGTGACTTTACGTAGTAAACTTACGTTTACTTACGTGGGCCCAAAACGGCTTCACGTTTACGGTCAGCCAGAAACATTTCTGGCTGCCCGGAAAGATAAGAATTCATCGGACTAAGTGGCTGCATGGGAAGCCCCTAATCAGTCACTAGCTTGGTTATACTATGCCCAAGCATGTTAGCACATGATTAAAACAACTTACAGATCCCCCAAATATACACGGACATGTCACAGCCTCTCCCACCTTATATCACTCAGATTTTTAGATTTTGCAGTCAACAAAACCTTTTTCTGCCCTGCCCGTGCGACTTCACGTAAACTTACGCGTAAGAAAACGTCAAGGTAAACTCATGCGTAAGTTTACGTTTACGTGACCGTAAAAAACGTAAAGGACCAACTAAGGTAGAGACGGGGGTGGAAAACGGAGTGGAGAAGGGGGTAATGAAGAGGGTGGCGAGAGGGGAGGAGAGAGCAGAGCACGTACCACCAGCGAGCAGCCCTTCAATAATATCAGGGGCGAGCGAGGCGGGGAAGAAGAGGGCCACAAAGACAACCCCCAGGGGCTCTGCAGCCCCCGAGAGAGCCGCGGCTCGAAAGGCGGCCCAGCGGCTTCGAGTGCCGAAGTAGATGGGGAGGGCGACTGCGAGGCCCTCAGGGATGTTGTGTAATGCGATGGCCACTGCTAGGCTGATTCCCACCCGCAGACCCTGGGGGTGATGGGCAGGGGAAGGGGACAAGAAGGGGAGGAAGGGAACGGGGAGGAGAGGAGCGGATGGCATGGTGAGTGGAGGCTTCTCGTGCCGAGGCAGATGGGGAGAGCGACTGCGAGGCCCTCTGGGATGTTGTGCAACGCTATGGCCACCGCTAGGCTAATTCCCACCCGCAGGCCCTGTGGGGAGGAGGAGGGGAGAGGGGGAGCAAAGAGGCAACATGTTAAGTAGATGGGGAGGGCGACCGCGAGGCCCTCTGGAATGTTGTGCAGCGCTATGGCCATTACTAGGCTGATGCCCACCCGCAGTCCCTGCCCACACCAGCACCCCCTACCCACACCAGCACCCGCTACCCACACCAGCACCCGCTACACAGCTCGTAGATACACCAGTAGAACCCCTTCCCTCTCCCTCACCCCCGTGCCCCCACCCATGTGCCCTCACCCTCATGGGGCCAAGGTACACGGCACTGCCTTCTGGGAATATGTGCAGGCTGATGGTGGGATGGGGGAATGAGGCTGAGCTATACTGATGGACACACCGGTACCCCCAGAGGCCCCAGTACCCCTTAGCCCCCCCTTCCCTCTCACCTTCATGGACCCCAGGAACACGGCGATGCCTTCGGGGAAGTTGTGCAGACTGATGCCCAAGGCCGTGATCACTCCACTTCACAGCACCGCTTGCCTTTTGCCTTGAAGCACCCCCCAACCCATGCCCACACCAGTACTCACAGAACCCCCGTCCCTCTCATCTCACCTTCATGGACCCGCCAACCCATGCCCAAACCACACACAGTCCCCACAGAACCCCCGTCCCTTCCCTCTCACCTTCATGGAGCCCAGGAACACAGCGATGCCTTCAGGGAAGTTGTGCAGGCTGATGCCCAAGGCTGTGATTACTCCACTCCACAGCACCGCTTGCCGCCGCCTCTGCATCTCCCGTTCCCCCACCTCTGCTTCCTTCTCATCTGCCACATCCTTTAATCTCCGTCTCTCCTCCCCCTCCCCGTCCACCCCTCTGTCTCGCCCCTCACCCACTTGAGAATCGCCAGTATTCCCATCTCGGCTATCCCACCCGCTACTTTTGATCCCACTAAGCCAATGCTCCACATGAATGTCCCTGTAGCTGTCCGAGCCCAAGCCTCGGACCAGGTTCGGATGCTCCACCTGACCAGCTCTTGCCAAACCTGAGGCTTGGTTCGGGTCCGAGTCAGGGCTTTCCGAGCCTAAGGGTTGGGTCAGATCTAGGGAGGAGAGGGAGGAAGGGAGGTAGAAGGAAGAGGAGGAGGAGGCGGAGGGGGAATTGAGTCGAGCGAGTGTTTGTTTCCGGATGAGGGGAGGTGGTGAGTCTGGTGGTGGTGGTGTTAGTGTTGGTGCCAGTGCTGCTGCCGGTGGTGCTGGTGGTACTGCTGCTGTTGCTTCTGCTGGTGCTGTTGCAGCTGGTGCTACAGCTGATGGTTGAATAGGTTGATCTGTCCGTTGCCTCTCCGTGAATGGTTCGGACGTACGTTGGGATGCAGGCTTGGACGTAGGTTCGGATACGGGACCGGATGCGTATTTCAATAGAGGTTCGGACGATGGCGCAGGATTTACAGATGGCTCGGGTGCGAGGGAAGGCTCGGGAACAAAGTGTACAACAGTTGCGAAGAGAAGCGCTCCTCCAAAGAACTGTTGAGGCACACGTAGTAAGTGCGGGACAGTGAGGAAGAGAGAGAAGGAGAGAGTGGGAGAGTGAAGCGGTGAAAGTGCGGGGGACAATTGGGAAGAGACAGAGGAGAGAGTGTGGGAAAGGAGATATTGCCAGGCAAGGGAACGAGATAGGAGCTGTAGTAAAAGCGCCTTTTCATCCACAAAGCGCAGATTGAATGAGCACGCAGGGGAAGCCAATGATAGGTTGGAAGCGGGGAAGTAAATAGCCTCAGGCAAGAGATCAAAGAAGGTGACGTTCCGCACTGTTGAGTCAACTCAAGAGATGTTGTTAATAACTCACAAGAAGGAGAACCCACCCATAGGTGGGCAGCAGGAAAGCAGATGGTCTCAATGGCTTCAGGCACGAGATCGAAGAACGTGAGGCTGAGCATGAGCAGCAACTTGAGTCGACTCAAGGGATGTTTCAATAATCAGCAAGCAATGAAGCTCACTCACTCACCCATAGGTTGGCAGCAGGAAAGCCGATGGTCTCGATTGCTTCGGGCACGAGATCAAAGAACGTGAGGCTCAGCATGAGCCCGCTGGCGAAGCCCTGGATAGCAGCGGAGGGAAAGTGGGGGCGAGTGGGTGTATGGGTGTGGGGGAGATGGAGGGGGAGGAAAGGGATGCGGGATGGCTTAGCAAGAGGTAAAAAACCACGAGGCTCACCAAGAGCCCGCTGGCAAATTTTTGAATAGCAGCGAAGGGAGGTAAGAAAGAGGGAGGAGTGGGGAGGGTGGTTGGGGGAGGGGTAGGTACGGGTAGCGATGTTGAAATGGCCAGGGTGGCTTCAGGGACGAGGTCAAAGAGGAGGGGAGGGAGAGCGGGAGGAAAAGGGGGAGCAGGGTAGGGTTAGGGGAGGGGGTGTTGAAGTGACCTGGGTGATTTCAGCCACGAGGTCAAATAACTTGAGTGTCCACGTGGGGTGAGGCGAGGTGAGGTGAGGCTGGGCGAGGTGGGGTGAGGTGCGGTGAGGGGAGGTGAGGTGGGGTGCAGAAGGGTATGGTGCAGAGTACCTGCAGGAGGCCTAGCCGCTTGATATCAGGCACAGCTTGAAGCACCACGAGAGCACCGCCTGGTGAGAAGAGGTGGAGGGAGGTGGGAGGAGATGGGAGGAGAGTGAAGGAGATGGGTGGGCATGGGATGCAAGGAGACGCTTAGGCATGCATGCCACGAGATGGGGAGACTGACAATCAGAGATGATGCATAGGGAAACGAGAGGAACAAGACTGTTCATGCTCAGACTGGCAACGAGAGCGAGCGTGTGGGCGATGGCGACTTGACGCGACAGAGTGATGCGTTGTGATTCGAGTCGAATGTTTGGGGTGTCACGGAGAGTTCTCTCCAAGAACCGTGCTCAGGCTGCCTTCAAGAATGAGCGTCTAATAGTGTGTTCTTGTTTGTAAATACGTGGCTCCCACCTGGGATTCGATTGGACTCACCAAGAGCCGTGCTGAGGCTGCCAACGAGAGTGAGAGCGAGTGCGATGCCGACTTGAGGCGACAGCCCGATGCCAAACCCCATGGACGGCAAGCCTGCCAGCACGGCCGTAATGGATCCCATAACTGATTCTGCTGCTGCTCCTGCTGCTCCTGCTGCTGCTGTTGTTTGTGGGGCTGCGGCTGCCAGTGTGTCAGCTGCTGCTGCTGCAGCTTCAGTCACGGCTGTACCAACTGTGTCTGCAGCCGTGTGTCCCACTTGTAACGCTTCCAGTTGTAACGCACCCAATTGGGATACTTCCAGTTGAATCGCTGCGAGAGCTGCCGCTGGAGCTGCTGCCGCTGCTGTGAGCGCTGCCGATGCCGCAAGCAGCAGTGTGCCTGCTGCTGACGTCACACGAGCAGATGCTACTGCTGTTGCTGCTGCTGCTGCTGCTTGTGGTGCTGGTGGTGGGGGTTCTGCTGCTGCTGCAGATGTTCGCTTTGCTGATGCCACTGTTTCTGACCGTGCTGCTGCCTGCACGGATTTCGCGATTGCTTTCCTGCCGGATTGCCCTCGCGATCTTCTCAAACGGGTCGCAGACAGCGAGGACGTGGATTTGACGAGCGAATTCAAACGGCAGACCGGCTGAATGAGACCAGCTTGAAGGTTAGGCGTCACGCCAGGCCGGCACACCTGCAGACGAGGAATTTGGCAGGAAACAAACCGTGCAGAAAAAATACTGAGAGAGTCGGAAAAGTGCACTTGTTGGTAGTAGTTGGTATGAACACAGGGAGCTATCTCCGAGCTAACAGGTACTAACAGGAGAAATCGCAGGGGTGAAGCGCACGTACGCACAGCAGGTACACACAGGGAGTTCTCTGTTCCTGTGCTAGCAGGTACTAACTCGGATCGCAGTGGCAATGCTCAAGCACACGCTGCTCAAGCACACGCAATCGCAGTAAAGAATTCAGACGAATCGCAAATCCGTCGCGAGCAGGTGCCTGAATCTCGGTTTGAAAGCTCAATCAAGCACACCAGCAGTAGCGCGAATTTTACACACTTCGTGGGAGCAGACCGTCGTGCTCTATAACAGAGCTGCGTTTCCGCTAACTGTGCTGTTCAAATTCCGGACTAGAAACCGAGGCTTCGAACTAGTGAGGGATAGGATATGCCTGATATGCCACTAACAGGACGAGCCGACGGCTGATGCAGACTAGACGAGCCGCCAGTAGAGAAACAAGTCGCCTTGCCGTACTACTCTCGAGATTCTAAGAAATCTACTGAGTACTAGAATGAACGAACGGCTCAGCGAGGCTTGTCGACGAAAATTCTAGTACCTTGGAAGGATAACGAGGCGTAGGTTGACAGGTGGAGCAAACGTGTGTCAATTCGTGACAGGAGTGGCTGCTGAAGCAGCTGCGGGCCATGGACGAGCGGCGAAGCAGGAATTATCAACGGGAAGCGTCTCGAGGTGGCTTCACAAATCAAGCTGGCCACGCCTACTTAGTTTTCCCTGAGAACAGGTAACGCGGAGCGCGCAAATAATCGGCACCGCGGAATTCTGCAACGATGACGAGTACTACGATGGTGCGCAAAAAGTCGGCACTGCGGGACCAGCAGCAGCAAAACTCGAGAGAGATTCTCCCAAAGAAGATGCGGAATTCAAGGGTGGTTCTCAGGGTACGCTTTCGTGCATTATCCAGACGTCAAGAGCAGCATGAAACGGAGGAAAGGAACAGCCTTGGGTTTGGCTTCGCCCCTCCTTCCAACAGAAGCTGCTGCTCCTCCCTCTCCTCTCCCCTCCTCTCCTCTCATGCATCCTTCACCCCTGGACGGCTACTGGTGAGGTGTTGGCTCAAACACGTTCAATCCAAATGGTATCGGAATGTAAAACCTTCTGCTAAAGTAAACGTAATGTACCGCTCTGCATCGTTCTGCATGTTCATTTCTGCACATTCTACACTGTTCAACTTGCAAAATTAATACGAGTGTTTCGAAAGTGCTCTCCTCGCCTCGCCTTCCCTGGGCGAAATGACACACATCGACGAAAATCGCGTTTTTCTTAATTGCGTCAATCCAAATTATCGCGATCTTGCCACGTCGGATCCTCTCTAAATTGCATCGACCGCGTTTGCGCGCGACCTTTAAACTATATTTTCCCGCCCTCCCCTCCGATATTCGGGCAGATGTGTTGAAGTACAGATGTATCACAAACAGTCGCACTTTTACCGTTCTAGGGTACCTGTGAAATTTCAATTTTACCTGACTAAAGTCATATTTAAATCCTGACTTAAGACTGCAGGATACTTAGACCCCAAAACCTAGAGCTTAAAATAGCTATATCAAAACATAGATATTTAATATTAATAATTATTTCAGAAAGAACATATCTAACAATTTGGTATTTTAGCCACTAAAATAATTCTTTGAATTCAGTAGTATTCATCTTAAATTCTTGTAATTATTTAGAAACATAAACATATCTGATTGTTTTATGTAAAGGTTTTAAATCCAATCCACCTAAATGAAAATCTAATTGTTTCAATTATAAGTGTTTTATAGTTAAACTAGCACACTATATATATATCTACCTAGACCCCATTTAGAATTCCAGATTTAGAGTTTTTTCTCATAATACCAAATCATTATCATTAGAGAGACATAAACATGGTACCTGTGTGGAGGTACCCTAGAACGTTAAAATTGCGACTGTTCGTGATACATCTGTACTTCAACACAGCTGCCCGAATTTCGGAGGGAAAGGGCGTGAAAATCGAGTGGAAAGGACGCGCGCAAATGCGGTCGATCCAATTTAGATCCGACGTGGCACGGTCGTGATAATTTGGGTCGAAGAAATTGAGAGAAACATGATTTTCGCCGATGCGCGTCATGGCCACAAACCCGCGGGCGGAATATCAAGTGCTCGAATGCCAGCCACAGCCCACACCACCCAATCCCAAGGTGCTCTGTGATTCCGCTCGACCAATCCCATAGTACCATTGATTCCGCTCTATTCTCGAACATGTGATGAGGAGTCCGTGGCGCCACAAGTGGGGGAATGGTTCCGAACCGCATGGCGGAAAGCCGTTTGCTGCTGCAAGGGGGAAAGGACTGGACTGCATGTTCGGTTCCGCAAGCCTGCTGAAACGTTCGCTGCGGAGTGCCTCACTCTTCTGAATAGTGGAACCTATTTAGAATATACGATAAACATTTACAGCTTGATTTTACATCTATTGCCGAGCATCCGTTTCATCATGTGCCCACTTTTCAACTACCCTCTTGGAGTCCAATCATCCTCTTTAGTCGCCACCTCATTTGCCAATAACGCTCCTAACAACGCAGCCCTCAGTGCCTCGTCCCTATGCCGACCCACCATCGACCACACATGCCGAACCTGACGACCCTCCGGGCCAGTGAGCTCCAGGTACGGCACGACCACCAGGTGTTTTGCAAAGAGTGGTGCAATGCGGTTGAGACGGTTTTGCTCCCACGTGGCCTCCTGTAAGTGGCGGTTAGAAGGTTCCTCGTTATACCAAGTGTCCAAAAACTGAGGGAAGGGGAAACAATAAAAACATATGAAAGAAGGGAGGAAAATGAGGGAGGAGGGGAGGGGGAGGGGTTGGTGAAGGAAAAAAGGAGGCAAAGGGAGCATATGTGAAGAGAAATGTGGCAAGAACAACTATGGATTCATGTTGTCAGGTAGGAAGGTGGGAAACGACACACATAGGGTAGAGTAATAGAGCAACAGAGCACCACAGGTTCCTTTCTGCAAGGAGGAGGAAACAAAATGGCATGTGTGCTATGCAAGCAGGCACATGACAGGAACACCTTATAAAAACCCTGACGGGCACCTGATGAGACAAGGGTACCTGAAGAGCGAGGAGGGATTCGCTCTGGCAACATCATCCCCACACTGATAAATCCTACAGAAAAGCTGTACAGAGCGGCATGCATTGGTTTGTTTATGTTTTGCTCCTAAGAAACATCGCTGGACACCAGTCGACCACCTGGAAGGCACGTGTGTACAGTGAATTTTTGAGACGTCTAAAAAAATCACTGTACACACGTTGTTTATGCGTTGCTCCTAAGAAACAACGCTGGACACCAGTCGACCACCTTGACGGCGAGGGGGGGCCGCCTAAGCAGCATGACCCCCATTAATCGACTCCAAACGAAGCGATGAAGAGAGCAGCAGGAGCGTAATACTGGATCAAGACTAAACACCTTCACCCACCTGTAGAGTGAGCGCGGAGCATCTCAGCAGCATGACCCCCTCACTGATGGACTTGAAAGATGCATAGGAAAGAACAGCCGGAACATTTTGCCGAGGAGACTTGAACCAATGGTGGCCGCCCACCTGGAAAGTGAGCGGGGAGCGCCTCAGCAACATGACCCCTGCATTGATCGACTCCAAAGAGGCATTGCACAGAGCAGCTGGGAGGTATTACTGGGGAACCATGAACAAAGACTAAAGACTCAACACCTTGGCCCACCTGGAAAGTGAGCGGGGAGCGCCTCAGCAGCATGACCCCTGCATTGATCGACTCCAAAGAGGCGTTGAACAGAGCAGCTGGGGCGCCATTCTCCTCCCCTGAATTCCGGGCGAACAGACCAATAAGCTCCTCCGAGGGCTCCTCTGCACATCGGGCAGTGGGTGACTGGCTGCAGGCTGCCACGTCAGCAGGAGAGGGATCCAGCAAGCCAATGGGGAACTGCGGCATCCACGTCTGATTGGTGAGATCCATGCCGTAACGATCCCTTATCCAGTTGAACGCTCCCTGGTGGGGTTCAGGTGGCAGTTGAGGGGAGGTGGGAGGAAAAAAGGGAGACAGGCCGGGAAGAAATGAGGGAAGTAAAAGAGGGAAACAGACAGGGAGCAGAGCCAAGCAGAGAAGTGAGCAGCAAAGAGGGCAGAGAAGGATGGCAGAGAAGGATGGCAGAGACGGATGGCAGAGAAGGACGGCAGAGAAGGACGGCAGAGAAGGACGGCAGAGAAGGATGGCAGAGAAGGATGGCAGAGAAGGATGGCAGAGAAGGATGGCAGAGAAGGATGGCAGAGAAGGATGGCAGAGAAGGATGGCAGAGAAGGACGGCAGAGAAGGATGGCAGAGAATAAGGCACGAGGAAGGCAACTCCTGGGTTGAAATACTGACAGTGAAGGGCAAACCGGCGAGCCAAGCTTCAATGGGAAGGTGGTGGTTGTCCATTCTGAAGTATGCATCCGAGTCGAGATAGAAGGCCCAGGCGCAGCAGCAGCGCAGCTGCTCCCGAATGAACAGCAACTGGAAGGCGAAGAAGGGGAAGACAAGGGAGGGTAGAACGCTGGTGAGGAAGTGAGGTGAGAGGGCGTCGGAAGTAGGTGTGTGAGTCGAGATAGACGGGCCAGGCGCAGCAGCAGTGCAGCTGATCCCGAATGAACAGCAACTGAACGGCGACGCGAGGAGGAGGGGCCAGGATGAGATGAGAGGGGTGGTTCGAATCAACAGACGGGAAAACAATCATAGACAGACATACAGAGCGATTGGATTCCCATGCAGTGAAGGGTGATGCAAGCGCGCATGGATGCAGACACTCGAACACGGGAAACATCCAGATACAGAGGCAGGGGTAACTGCTGCAGGGGTAACTGCTGCAGGGGTAACACTCACGCCGCCACACACACACACACCTTGAGCCACGATGGGTGGCGAGTTTCGTTGTATTCCCGCGTGTCCTGATTCACATAGCGGTAGCCATGACGGTTGGCGTAGAGCCTGTCAGCGGTTGGCGGAAGAGGAAGGCAGGAGGGGAGAGTAAGCGGGAGGAAGGAGGAGGGAGAGGGAGGAAGAAGGAAGAAGGAGGGAGGTGCAGCCGTTGCTCTCAAATCACGGGTAACCCATGGGGGAGGGGCGGAGGGGGCGGGGACTCACTGCCTGATGGCTGGCTGGATGCCATCAGAAGGGCATGCAGCTGCGGCACAGCATGATCCTATTCTCGTTGAATTGCAAAATATGGGTTCGCATCGCACATGACTCTCAGACAGACCATCTAAACAGCACAGAGCCATACCTCAGAAGTAAAAACGAAACAACGAATAAAAACAGAAGAACAAAAAAATAAACAAAAAGAGGAACGGGAGCTCACTGGTTGATGGCCTTAGAGGCCATCCAGAAGGGCAGGGTGCGGCCGTTCCTTTCAAAGTAATCGTACCCTGCCCACTCCCCCTCCCCCTCCCCCTCCCCCTCCCCCTTCCCCACTGCCACTCCCCCCCCCAACACCACTACCACCCGCCACCCTTCCACTCACTGGTTGATGGCCTTAGAGGCCATCCAGAAGGGCAGGGTGCCGCCGTTCCTCTCAAAGTAATCGTACCCTGCCGCCTCCACATAGTCCCTCGCCTGCCTGCTGTCACTCTGCAGTATGCACCCCGGCAGCTCAGACCTTCTGCCGCCATTGACGTTCCCCCCAGCACCAGCAGTGCCAGCAGCACCAGCAGCAATATCCTTGCCACCAGCAGCAATGTCTTTTCTCAACCTGCTGTCACTGCTCCAGCTGGCACTGCTGCGGCCAGTGCTGCTGCTGCTGCCGGCTGCATCTGAATGGCAGCCAGGCCAGTCCAGACCCGGGTGTGGCTCTGTGATTCGGAAGTGTCAGGGCGAAAAACAAGAAGAATCATTAGAGAAGACTACTGAATCTGGAAGAGTAAGGGAAACAACAGAAAGAACAATCAGAGAGGAGTTCTGAGATGCCTCAAAGGTAGCCAGGATGTTGCGGTTGTATTTCGGTCAAGTCAGGGGAACGGAGAAGAGAGAACAAGAGACTTTCTGCAAAATGTGGAATGGTCGGACGAGGCAAAAGAGAGAAAGGGGATCATCTTTGGGAAAAAGGGGCATGAAAGAGGGGCACGGATGGTGCAATTCTGGGCAGGTCAGACAGACAGACAACGGAGTTGCAGATGGCTGTGGTGGTGGTGGTGTTTAAGAGGAGACAAGGGAGAAAGAGAAATGCAGGTACAGTGCAGTGCACGGCAGGGAAGAAAATGTGGGGGAAAATACGCTTTCCACATCGCATTATTCATCCATCTGGCATACATACAAAAATACACACAGGTTACTTTCATGCAGACATCCTAAACCCATGCCATACTGCCCAATACCCTACCATATACTAATTTCTCCACGCGATCAACAGCTGCTGAAACACGTGAAGCCAGAGTGTCCAGGCGTTCTTTCAGCAAAAATACTTCCTCCTGCATGCATACAGGTTGGAGGACAACCGGGGAGCAGGGGGGTACAGAACGGTTCAGTGCGTAGTGGTTGAAATGTGCACACCGCTGCACATGGGAGTGAGCCGGTGCACATGGTAGTGAGCTGCTGCGCATGGTAGTGAGCTGCTGCGCATGGTAGTGAGCTGCTGCGCATGCTTAGTGCCTGCGTGCATGTGTGTATGCTGGAATGCAATTGCCTTCATGGAAACTGCCAGGAGCTAGTGTTGCGGTACAATGGAGTACAATGGAGGCCAAGTCATCAGCCGGTGAGACCACAAAGGAAACCGTTGGAGAGATTGAAGAAATAGTGATCACAATGTTTTGACATCACATCGGAAACGAAGGGAGAACTGGAATGAGGGGAATCTGTAGCGTGGGAATGGGAGTAGGACATAGAATGACAGGACGTACGGTTTAGGGATGTGAATTCGTCAGTCAGGCACCGTCAAGAGAAACGAGGGAAAATATGAAAATCGGGCATAACCGCTCTTAAAATATTATGGCGAAACCATTACCGCCAGTTGGGAGCGGCGTCGATGCAGCAAGGGAACGCAGATGGCCAACGCAGCGACGCTTAGAACGGTGAGCGTGAGCGATCGCCATGAGAGCGAGGGCGAGGAGGAGGTGACGGAGGAGGCGGAAGCGGTGGCGCGGGAGAGGGAGGAGTAGGAAAGGGACGGAAGGGAGGAGGAGCGTGATGGGAGGGGTGAGGAGGACGGGGAGGAGGACGACGAGGGCTTAGGAGGCATCCAGAAAACCAGGGCCCCTCGAGGACCTCCGAGATCGCAGTTTCGGGATATCGCGAGATTACGAGAGCGCGTTTGTTTCCTACGTAACGCATTGACGCATTGCACTTCACGCTGTGAGGGGTTGGTGATGGATGGGAGCCATGGTTGATTGGTATGTACCGGTAGTTACGGTCTACCAGAATCAATAACCATCAGCACTCCACCTCCTAGAGAGCTCGGTCTGCATGGTTGTAATGCTGAATATTGTGATTTATTACATATTTTTTTCCATACTGTGTTTTGACGAATGTTCCCATTCGTCAATGCGTATGAAATGGTTTCAATGGTTTCAATCAAATCCTTCTGATGCTGTGTAATCTGCAGGTATACTTGATAGCGTCTTTTGTATGTGCAATGCATAATCAGTTTCACTGTTCAGAAATTCGACATAAGCAACGAGTCACCTAGAGTACTCATCGCGCCGCGATGTGTGCAGCTCGTCTTGTACATTCTCAGCACGTTATCACACGGTAGAATGCGGTATTAGCTTCGTGCGTTATGACCGTTTTGAACCGTATGAAGCTCCAGCGATACCACTATACACCTATCTATTTCAAGCAGTCGAGGACAACACCATTCAAAGCAGCGCCGACAACCTCTGCAATTATCGAAGCGCAGATTGAACACATGAACGTCGGTCCAAGTAGCACCGCTAACATGAACGTCGAATCAATTTCTGAGAATCGCATCACATGTTAGTTGTTGAAGTACCGGGCGCTCCCCACCGGGACGTCGCTCTACAGCCGTGACGCAACGCGACGCGACAACCACGAAGATTCTCATCATGGCCTTATCGTGGGTGCTGCAGCGTGCGTTGTCGTTGCGTTCTGTATCGGAGCAGTACGTAGTCATGCTGAAAGGCATCAAATATGTCAGCTGCGCAATCCATGCCAAAGAGACTCATTACCACTGATACTACAAGTACTAGAACTGCTGTCAGCGACAAATCTTGTCGTCCCCCAGCCATGGAGAAAACTCCCAATTCTCTGCTGCTCTCTCTTTCGATGATGCTCATCTGCTTTTCGTTGATCCCCCCCACATTCGCGGGCCGGGTGCGCGTCGCTCTCACGCGACAGGCGCACGACGATTACCTCCATCAGCGACAGCTGAGCGACCGTGAGCGAAAACTGACAGACGTCGTCGACCGCGGCTCTGAGCCTCCGCTGCACTTGTTCGAATCAAAATCCAGCTTCGACGAAGAGCGACGCGAGGAGGGACAACTGGGAGGCACGTTGGACGATTTGTTAGCCACTCCCATCAAATACCACGGTGGTCCCGTGCTGAGCGGGGAGACGCTGAATATATACCTAATATACTACGGTTACTGGCCAGCGGAAATCGGCCAGAATGTGATTGGGAACTTTATTCAGTCGCTGAGTCTAAATAGCTCCGATGCGCAAGGGGAAGCTGGGGATCCGAAAGTGAGCAACTGGTGGGCGACGAGTTCGAAATACTACTCGAACTCATCTGACGGGTCTACGAACACCGTCAGCAAGGAGGTAAGGCGAATGTTACAAATCGGGCGGCATGTGCGAAAAAAGGTACTTTCTGGACGAGCAGGTGGTGCGGCATCGGGCAAACAGAGCTTGGATGCGCACATTCAATGTTCCATGGTCGCAAATGACGCTTTGGCTAAAAACGAAACAATCCGAACCCTGAGCGCGCTATACAAGAGCTCAATGCTGGCTACATGAGTTTTTCCTGCAAACGAAACAACAGTGTCCGACGGGGATTTTACGTCCACCCCAATGGCTTTCGCAGGTGAAGCTCGCAAAGGTAGTCTACGACCAAGGGTCTCGGGGTAAGAAGTTTGACTACAACACTCCCTGGAAAGGTGTGCTTTCTTTTCCAGAAATAGTTTATTTCTTTTTGTTACAGGTACACGCATTCCGATCGTTTGCCGACACCACGTTTGTACCTACTTCTGCACTGACTTGTTACCTACTCAGGATCATGTTACTACTATCGCATGCCCCTCTTCTATCACAGTTGTTATGAGCAAGATTGGCGACGGAAAACCGTTCCCCTACGACGCCAATGGCATCTACATGGTTCTCACTGGCAATAACGTGGAGATTTCTGGCTTTTGCAAGAAATTTTGCGGGTGGCACACGATGAATCGTCTCGGCGGGTCGAAGCCTGTCGCGTATGCCCTCGTGGGTCATCACGGGTTATGTCCGGAAAAGTGCGGGGCGAAGCCGACTTCGCCTAACGGAAAGCCCTGGCTCGACGCGATGGTTTCGACAGTCGCTCACGAGATCGCGGAGGCTGCGACGGATCCTGATTCCAGCACCGGCTGGATCGACGCTAAACGGGAGGAGAACGCCGATAAGTGCAGCTACAGCTACGGAGTTACGCAAACAGCAAAGAATGTGAACGGTGAGGATGCAGAGTACAACCTCCTGGGTCTCAACAATATGAAGTTCCTGATCCAGCAGAACTGGGACGTGGCGGCGGGCTCATGTGTACTGCAGACAACTGAATAGGGGATGCAATGATGGATTGTGAAGCGTCTGCGGTAAGGTGATTAGAGAAAAATGCGCGACGGGAAGGGAAGGTGCGGGAGGCATAGCTGCAGCACCTAAGCCATATATCTGCTTTGAAAGGCAAGCTGCGCCAAAGAAAGGGAAAACAGCCCAATAAGCGCCTGAAGTGGTTCTCAAGCAGAAGTTATTTGAGTAGGTGACCCAGCGAACTAGCTATGCAGCTGGCTCTCTACTGTATTCTCCATCAGGAAGCATTAGAACATTTAAAAAACAACATTGAAGTGCATCCCCACACTCTTACAACATCCCCTAGCTGTAATCTAGCCTTGTAAGATTTTCAGTTACGACTATGAAACGTAAAATTTATATTTGACTACCTCCCATAAAAAACAAAATCCCTTTGTGGCTGTCGTTTGTGCCATAATGCAAAATGATTTCTCAATGTGCACTATAAGACCTTTTCTGTTCCAAAGAGCAGATGTTACAGATTGTGTATCTTTTGGCAAGCTTCCAACTGATTTGCTTTCGATGTGTAGTATCGAGTTGGTTTCAACCTTCTCCTCGGACCATGGACATTCGGCAACAGTGTACCGCGGACGTCAGCACTTTCCGAAATTGAGCTAGCGGTGCGAATAGAGACGAAGACAAACACTGTACAGTTTGGCGAGAACCGCCACGCCCCGTGACATCGAGCCGCGACAATCTTCAGACTGTGTGTGTGTGGTGTGGAGATCGTCGTGCACTCTTCACACGGTGGAAAGCGGTTCTGACAGGGCCGGCTAGGACCGCTTTGAACCGTAGTATGCTCTAGCCACACCCCTACTCACTCTTCCATGCCTCTGCTTCCAAAATCTTTGACAGCAAAAACCTCGTTGAAGTTAGCAGACACCGTCTGCCATTATTGGAGCTCACATTTGAACATCGTCTCATCAGCTGTACTGCTAGCCATCGTCTCATTAGCAAACACCCTCTGCTAGAGCGCCCCGCGACCGCGACGTCGCACTACAACCTCCGCGCGGCATCCGCGAACCTTCTCATCGTGGGATGTTCGTGGCCAAACCAGCGTGCGATCTTGTAACATTCAGTATAAATCAGTGCATCGTTGTCATGCTGACAGGTATCATATTATCAGCCTGTTCATTCGCAATCTAAGCTTCTTACCAGCGTTCGGACCGCCTAAACGTCAAGATTTGCTATTAACAGCTGTAAAAGAACATTGCCGTTCCCCAGCCATGGCGAATATCCTCAAACCCCTGCTGCTCGCACTCGTGACGATGCTCGTCTGCCTCTCGTTGTTCCCTCCCGCATTCGCCGGCCCTGTGCGCGTCTCTCGCACGCGACAGGCTCACGACGAGTACCTCCGTCAGCGACAGCTGAGCGGACGTGAGCGCAAGCTGACCGACATCGTCTACCGCGGCTCACTGCCTCCTGTGCACCTGGTCGAAACAAAATTCAGCTTCGACAAGGAGCGACGCGAGGAGGAACGACGCAATCAGGGAGGCGCCGCGTCCTCGTCCGCCACTCCCATCAAGTACCACGGTGGTCCCGTGATGAGCGGCGAGATGCTGAATGTATACATAATCTACTATGGCTCCTGGCCAGCGGGATCCGGGCAGGATGTGATTGAGAACTTTATTCGGTCGCTGGGTTTAAGTGGCTCCGATGCGCAAGGGGAAGCTGGGGATCCGAAAGTGAGCAACTGGTGGGCGACAAGTTCTAAGTACTACTCGAAGGCGTCAGACGGGTCTACAAACACCGTCAGCAAGGAGGTACGTCAACTCTGGTTTCAAGACATGTGGCTTAGTGAAAAACTTACCCATGAGTGAAAATCTGAGGCTGGAAAAGGTACTTTCAGGACCTGATTGGCCCGACGTCCGGCATGCAGTAGCTCGGAGGACCTCGGAATGCTCGAGGGTTGCAAACGACCGTTTTGGGAAAAACAACAGGAGAACCACGATGTCTTCGCGAAAAGCTTTGCCAATTTTTATCCTAAGTCCACCCCCTGTCATTCCCAGGTGAACCTCACCAAGGTTATCTGGGACAAAGGGTCTCGCGGGAAGAAGCTCGGCCCCAGAGGTCCCTGGAAAAGTGCGTTTTCTTCCCATCATAGCTGTTTTCCTCTCGTTAGTACCTGTTTCCTGTTTGATTGCAGGCATTTCGTCATTCCACTTATCCCCTACAAATGAAAAGTTGTCTATCCAGAATTGTACTAATCTATCGCCCCTCATTATTTCACAGTTGTCAAGAGCAGGATTGGCTCGGGAAAGCCGCTCCCTTACGACGCGGATGGGATCTACCTGCTTCTCACGAGCAAGGACGTGAAAGTCGCTGGCTATTGCAGTCAATACTGCGGGTGGCACACGATGGATTATCTCAATTCGAAGCCTGTCGTGTATTCCCTCGTGGGTCATCACGGAAGGTGCCCGAAAAACTGCGGGGCGCAGAAAACTTCGCCCAACGGAAACCCCGGACTCGATGCGACAGTCTCCACGATTGCTCACGAGATCGCGGAAGCTGCGACGGATCCCGACGCTAGCAGCGGGTGGTTCGACGCTAACAATGAAGAAAACGCGGATAAGTGCAGCTACGACTACGGAGAAACGCTAACTACTCAGAACGAAAAAGGTCAGGATGCACAGTACAACCTTGTGGGGCTCAACAATATGACGTTTCTGGTGCAGCAGAACTGGGACGTGACGACGCACTCGTGCGTTGTGCAGGCGACTGAATAGGGGATTAAGTGATCAACTATAAAGCGTCTGTGAGGGTGACAACGAGAGGAATTGCGCAACTGAAGGGGAAGCGGCAGGAGGTATAGTTGCGGCTTTCTCGATACCGCAGCGCGTGAGCCATGCGTCTGCTTTTACAAGCTGCGCCAAGGAATAAGGGCAGTAGTGTATGACAAAAGGCCCAATAAGCGCCTGAAGTCGTTGTTGAACAGTAGATAGGAAACTGGGTCTGCTTTGTTTACGATTCCAAGTACACACCAGTTGGCGTTCTATACTGAAATATGAAAGCACTATTTTAATATTTATAATGGAATCTTTGGTCGTATAGTGAAGGAACAACAATAGGGCATAAATTCAGTATGTGATGTAGGTTAGCAAGGCAACGTGTTATTTACACGTTGTTCGAACTGATTTGATGCTTTTATTGCGAGTGAGTATATTTTTGTTATTTCTATGTTCAAGTAATTCGAGTTATTTTGCGTGACAATCGAATATATATAAATTGCATGTTTCTTCAGACATATAGTAGTATCTGTTGCTGATAGAAATGGGAAGGGCTATATTCTGTATTCTTCTGCGTCATATCAGTTTCACTTCTCGGTGAGAGCTCTACCTCAGCGAATTCATTCACTGGCTCGAGTCGCGTCAATGTTCAAGGGTGTGACTCACATTCCGATTGTTTTCAATGACCAGCTATGACCGCTTTGAACCAGGGTGGTTATTACCAAACCCGCGGAAAAAACCTTCAGACACCCTCCCTACTGCTCATCCACACGGAACATACACCCTATTCTCGATAATTTCACACCCCCCAATCCCGAGCCGCGATGTTTTTTGCCCGAGAGGGTGTGAAATTAAAGGGGCAAATATTGTCCCCGATCATTTCACACTCGAGGCGCCGTAAAGCTGTGCTGGCAGGGAATGAAAAATGACTTGAGATGACCCAGGAATTGTTGACAATCTTGAAAAATATTTGAATCCAATGAAAAACAGGCACGTCAGGATTGCGTTTATCGTAACCCTGACCACAAATTCGAATCTGACTGCCAACACCCAAAATTTAAGACCTATTCACAATCGGGTCCAAACATGGGAATTTTCGAGAGACACACGCCTTTGTAGCAATGCAGACCCATACTTGCAACCCAACGCCGTGCAACGAAATTTGACACATTGTGTTCCACACAAATTTGGATGCGACCCGATTGGATCACCTAGCCCCCCCATTTCTCTGGGCTGCAGTGCATTTGTCAGTTCAATGATCCTTCACGGTTCGCCAGCTCGGCAGCCCAAAGCCTTTGCTGGCGATCCCAAGTCAGGGTATGAAATTAGGGGTGTGAAATTATCGAGAATAGGGTGTACAGAATAGCAAAGCGCGCGCGCCTCTCACAATTATTGCACCTCGCACTGAGACATGGCATCTCGCACACTTGGCCTTACTACGCAAGAACAACTGCATATAATTGTGAGTGTCCAGCGCTCCGCGCGACGTCGCTCCACAGCCGTGTCGCGACAACCACAGATCGACCTTCTCATCGTGGGCACGGCAGCCCGGACTATGCCCGGGCTATGCTGCGTTCAGTTTAAAACGATGCGTAGCCATGGTGACAAACATCATATTTTCATCCTTGGCATTTGAAAATTGAGCAGCGATCCCTGAAATTACTCATAATCAGCTACTCCTAGCCGTCATCAGCAACTCTTGCCGATACCCAGCCATGGCTAATCTCCTCAATTCCTCAATTATGCTGCTCTTTCTTTCGCTGATGCTCGTCTGTCTCTCGGTGCTCCCTCCCGCACTTGCCGGCCCGAAGAACCTCGCTCGCACGCGTCAGGCGCACGACGATTACCGCCGTCAGCGACAGCTGAGCGACCGTGAGCGAAAGCTGAGCGACGTTGTGGAGCGCGACAATGATCGCCCTCCTCTGCACCTGGTCGAAACGAAAGCCGCTTTTCTCAAGGATCAGCGCGAGCAAGGCGGCAAATCATCGACCACTCCGATCCAATACTGGGGCGGTCCCGTGCTGAACGGCGACACGCTGAACATTTACGTAATCTACTATGGCTTCTGGCCCGCGGGATTCGGGCAGAATCTGATCGAGAATTTCATTCGGTCGTTGAGCTTGGGAGGCGCGGACGCGCAGGGGCAAGCCGGGGATCAGACGGTCAGCAACTGGTGGGCGACGAGCACAAAGTATTACTCGGAATCGACTGGCACGACCACGACCGTCAGCTCCGAGGTATGCCGGTGTCGAATCAAATGTAAATAGGTGAAAATATGGGGATGAGAAGTTACTTTCAGCACCAGCTTCGTGGCGCGACATCATCAAGGAATATAGGTCGGAGGTACGTCAGAAAGTTCCCGGGTTTCAATCCAAGCTTTTCACGTATCCGAATTTGACCATTTCAAATATAATTTCTTGCGACATTGTCCTGATTCCAAACGTCCACCTCCCCAGGTGAACCTCGCGAAAGTTATCTACGACAAAGGGTCCCGCGGGAGAAATTTTGGCGAAAACACGCCCTGGGAAGGTGCGTACTGATTTCAACACGGCTGTTTTCTTTCCATTTGCGTGTATCCCGTTCGTTTTCCGACATTGCTGCATGCTCGACATGAGACTGTTTGTCGTCTGAAGTCGTACTAATCTTTCGCCTTTCTATTGACCACAGTTGTCAAGAGCAAAATTGGCGACGGAAAGCCGCTCCCCTACGACGCCAATGGCATCTACCTGCTTCTTACCAGCAAAGACGTGAAAGTCCCCGGCTTTTGCACAGAGTACTGCGGGTACCACACTATGGATTATATCGATACGGACGCTGTCGCGTATTCCCTCGTGGGTCACCACGGTAAGTGCCCTCAAAACTGCGGGGGCCAGAGGTTCTCGCCCAACGCGAATCCTGCGATTGATGCGACGATTTCGACAATCGCTCACGAGATTTCGGAAGCTGCGACGGATCCCGACGCGTCAACCGGCTGGCTCGATGCGGACAAGGAAGAAAACGCCGATAAGTGCAGCTACACTTACGGGAAGACCAAGTCAGTTCGCAACAAAAAGGGCAAGAACGCGAAGTACAATCTCGTGGGGCTCAACAGAATGAAGTTCCTGGTGCAGCAGAACTGGGACTTTGGGACGGACGCGTGCGTATCGCAGGCGCCCGAATAGGGGGTTGCAATGATGGATCGTGATTCTTGAAGCTTTGGGGTGATGGTTACAAGAAGAAATGCGCGGCGGGAAGGGAACCGGCGGGAGGTTTGGCTGCATTTACCTGCATCCTCGATCCCTGCAGCAAGCAAGGGGAAGCTTATGCTTCGCTGAAGAATAAGATTCGCTGGAGTCGTAGCAGCAATGCACGATAAACGGCGCACGTAGTGCCTGAAGGTGTTGTCCGAGAGGAGAGTAGTCACCAAGGGGGGTTCTGGCATGTCCTTGTTTATGATCAGAAATAAAAGATTGATTTCTGTTGCGACTCGTGACTCGTGAGAGGTGTTGTGTTGGTGGTGTGTCCACCAGTGACATTCCATCTCTCGGTGAATTTCTGCGACGGATATTGTGGAGATCACGGTTCCACGTCACCACCCGCCACCAACTTTCTCGCTACATCGACTAGCCTGAATGTATCCACATTTACCAAAACAAATACACCTACATGTTTTTGTTTTCCGTCTCAGGTCATTTGGTCATGAGGTATGGTTGCTGTGTTTGCATCCTGGAGCCTGAAAGCAGCCACAAGCCAGATGCGATTTATAATGGAGAACGACATTACACCCTGATTTTCCCAATCACATCTGAATCATGGCGCAACAGAAAGACCTTTGGTCATGTTCATCTGTTGTTTGCTAAACTTGTTGACAGGGCAAGTGGGGTTCCGACCAAAGATCTCATCCACAAGCCTCACTTCTTGGCGCTCAAAGAACCAATCGGCTACAGCTTGAGCCATGGACTGCACAAACGCACAAGCACACACCCAACAAAGAAGCACAGAAAACTAAACCATCATATAACCATGATTGATAGACTGAAGAGAACATGGATGGTCAATGCAACAAACAGAAACATTGGGAAGGGCAAGGGAAAGATGCATTAGAAAGTAGATATAAGAGGTAGTCTCATCATCCACATGAATGGTGAGACTGAGACATAAATGGTGAAGAAATATGAGCACAGAGCCGAACACGAGAATGGCAAATAACTCACTTGGTTTGACAGCAATGGCCCTCGAGACCCATGCCATGACTCCCACAGCGCCTGCAAAGGGAAAGAAAGAAAAGAGAAAGACACAAGGAGAGTGGGAGTAAAGGTGAGAGAGAGAGGTAACTTCTGAGTCGACTCAAAACTCACTTGGTTTGATAACAATGGCCCTCGAGACCCATGCCATGACTCCCAGAGCGCCTGCAGAGAAGGAAACAAAGGTGAGAGAGGGAGGTACGGTGCAAGGGAAAGTCTATTTTTGAGGCGCCTAATTAAAGAAAAGACTCCCACAGCGCCTGTAGAGAGAGAAACAAGGACAGTGGAATAAAAGGTGAGAGAGGGAGGTACGGTGACTTTTGAGGCGCCTCAGAAGTCGAGACCCATGCCATGACTCCCACAGAGCCTGCAGAGAAAGAAGGGAAGTGGAATCAAATGTGAGAGAGGTGCAAGGGAGAGGGGGGCGAGGGAGGGCGGGAAGCAGGGGGGGTAAGGGGAGGAAGGGGTTTGGGGTTTGTATCTTGGCACATTAGAAAGACAACATCGGGCAGTGGTAGATACACAATTCCATGCAGGGTTTACGGTTGATTACACTACCCTAAAAAAAACCAGGATACTTGAGAATTCTCAGAAGCTATCCTAAATACCCTTGTTGAGAAATTTCAATAGAGACCCTGCCTTAGCGCATCACCAACCCACCAGGCACATGATCATATGTGCAAGTGACAACCAATGGCGTGCATGCAACATACCATGGTGTGCATGCAACATACCATGGTGTGCATGCAAAATACCATGGTGTGCATGCAACATACCATGGTGTGCATGCAACATACCATGGTGTGCATGCAAAATACCATGGTGTGCATGCAACATAGCATGGTGTGCATGCAACATACCATGGTGTGCATGCAACATACCATGGTGTGCATGCAACATACCATGGTGTGCATGCAACATACCATGGTGTGCATGCAACATACCATGGTGTGCATGCAACATACCATGGTGTGCATGCAACATACCATGGTGTGCATGCAACATACCATGGTGTGCATGCAAAATACCATGGTGTGCATGCAACATACCATGGTGTGCATGCAACATACCATGGTGTGCATGCAACATACCATGGCGTGCATGCAACATACCATGGTGTGCATGCAACATACCATGGTGTGCATGCAACATACCATGGTGTGCATGCAACATACCATGGTGTGCATGCAACATACCATGGTGTGCATGCAAAATACCATGGTGTGCATGCAACATACCATGGTGTGCATGCAACATAGCATGGTGTGCATGCAACATACCATGGTGTGCATGCAACATACCATGGTGTGCATGCAACATACCATGGCGTGCATGCAACATACCATGGTGTGCATGCAACATACCATGGTGTGCATGCAACATACCATGGTGTGCATGCAACATACCATGGTGTGCATGCAACATACCATGGTGTGCATGCAACATACCATGGCGTGCATGCAACATACCATGGTGTGCATGCAACATACCATGGCGTGCATGCAACATACCATGGCGTGCATGCAACATACCATGGTGTGCATGCAACATACCATGGTGTGCATGCAAAATACCATGGTGTGCATGCAACATACCATGGTGTGCATGCAACATACCATGGTGTGCATGCAACATACCATGGCGTGCATGCAACATACCATGGTGGGCATGCAACATACCATGGTGTGCATGCAACATACCATGGTGTGCATGCAACATACCATGGTGTGCATGCAACATACCATGGTGTGCATGTGACACGAGGCGAGAAAGAAACCATGCGGGCATCGCTTCACTGAAATCAAGCCTCCCTTTGAACCACCAGCCAAGCTCGCCTTCCCTCCTCGCACTCCTCCTGCTTCCCCTGTTCCTCCTGTTCCCCCTGTTCCCCCAGTTCCCCCTGTCCCCCCTGCTGTTACCCCTCCCCCACTAGGTAACCACCACTGTAACCATCTACTACCACTGCCCCACTCCGTCCCTGCCTGCTCCGAGCCTTGTTCTGCCTGCCACAGGTTCGGCACCGAAGCTAAGACCCGAGCCTGCATGAGAGGCTGCAGCTTCTTCACCATCTCGGCTCGGTAGGCTGGGGCAGGGCGAGGTTGCAAGGAAAATGGATAGCACAGAAAGAGAAATCAACCATATCTTTGAGTCAGAATAAAAAAAAACAATACCTCGCTTCCCTTCACTTGATATCCAGCAGACAGATAATACCAGTTGGACATTGTATTTTTCTTTTAATTCTCAATAATCGGCCAGTTGGACACTGAAAGAAGAAACATGAATTGCAGAAACCAGACAAATCTTGAAGCCAAACAGAAGCACAAGACAGTTAAGAAAGCCATCAAAGCTTGACGGATTTCTAAACCCTCAAGCTTTAATCAAAATTCTGATCTCAAAGTCACCCTATCATTCTCATCTTTCCTTGCAACATTCCCGCTCGCACAAGCACTTATTGTGGAATTTCCAAAGCAGTTGTCCGGACCGGAGCAATCCATCAGTGCCAGCCGGCAATCATCCCAGTGCTGGGAGTTGAAGGAAGTTTGAGGCGTGCGCGTGACAAGTTTGCTTGTTCAATCACAACCACTTACTATGAACTTTCAAAGCAGTTGTCCCGGGCAATCCATCAGTGCTAAGCGGCAATCATCCCAGTGCTGGGAGTACATTTGAGGCGCCTCAACACAAGCACTCACTGTGGAATTTCCGAAGCAGTTGTCCGGGGCAATCCATCAGTGCCAAGCGGCAATCGTCCCAGTGCTGGGAGCTGAAGGATGCTGGGACGGCGAAAGAGTGGTTCATCTGATGTGCAACGCAAGTAACATCATCCACGCATCAAGGGTCAAAATAAGGGAGGACACATTCGGTTGGGACGGGACGTCTCAAAAGACTTCCCAGTGCTGGGAGGAGAAGGATGCTGGAACAGCGAAAGAGTGGTTCATCTGATGTGCAACGCAAGTAACATGCCATGCACAAAAGGGTTGCACGCAAGGGTTGGAGACGGGGATGAGGAGTTTTGAGCCGTCCCAGGGCAAGGAATGGAAGGATGGCGGGACGGCGAAACAATGGTTCACCTCATGTGCAAGTGATATGCACATTCCATGTCCTTTCCTTCGAGTGAGTCCTAACATGCAAGTACTGCTTGAGAGAAATGGTGCTTTGAGGGGCGGAGAGGTGGGTGGGGTTTGGGAGAAATGCACTTGGCAATACCTGAACATTCTTCATCAGACAATGTACGGAGCAGGGAATAGGATTGAGGGCTCTTTAAGGGATTATTTTCCAAATGAGGGCTCATTGTCAGTACTAAGGGAGGGGAACTGCTTGTAGGAGCAAGCGAGGGGGGAAGCGGCCAGCCAGGAGTCATAGAGGGTGCTGCCGATGCAGAGAGGGGTGCGAGTAGGAGGGCTTGTAGTAGTTACAGAGGGGCCTACTTGTACGAGCGAGGGAGGGGGGAAGCCGCCAGCCAGGAGTCATAGAGGGTGCTGCCGATGCAGAGACGGGTGTGCAGCAGCGGGGGGTGATGGATTTGACTCAAGAATGGCTAATCGGAACGAGAGGGTAGGCACCTGAGGGCAGGGGAGGGCTAGGAATGAGCAGGGAAGCGCCTGCCAGGAGTCATAGTGGGTGTTGCCAATGAACAGAGAGTGAGTGAGGGCTAGTCAGTGAGGGGTGCTATTTGCAAAAGCGAGGGAGCGAGGGAGGGAGGGAGGGAAAAAGGTAGCAAGGGAACGAGGGAGGGAGGGAGGGAGCACCTGCCAGGAGTCATAGAGGGTGTTGCCGATGAAGAGAGGCGTGTGCAGCAGCGGGGGGCTATAAAAGTGGCTCAAGAAGGGCTACTCGGAATGAGAGGGGAAGAATGAGCGGGGAGGGGACGAACCTGCCAGGAGTCATAGAGGGTGTTGCCGATGAAGAGAGGCGTGTGCAGCAGCGGGGGGCTATAAAAGTGGCTCAAGAAGGGCTACTCGGAATGAGAGGGGAAGAATGAGCGGGGAGGGGACGAACCTGCCAGGAGTCATAGAGGGTGTTGCCGATGAAGAGAGGCGTGTGCAGCAGCGGGAGGAAATACTCGGGGAAAAAGCACTGCGGTGTGCGTGGGGAAGGGTGGGGGGGAGGAGGAAGTGGGAGAGAAACCTTTAAAGCGCCTGAAATAGTACTATGGATAGGAACACTGAACGGATGGGAGGGAGGTGGGAGAAGGGGAAGAGTGAGAGAGCAGTGGCAAGGTATGGGGGGAGGAGAGGAATGAGGATGAGAGAAGACAAGGTGGTGGAAAGGAGGAGGATGAGCGAGTTGCAGAGAAGAACAGTAGCTGGGTGAAAACAATCGTTAGCTGGAAGAAGAGACAGAAACAGTCCCTAGCTAGCTGTCTGAGTCGCTTTTGAGAATTCTCAAAAGGAGGAGGATGAGCGCGTTGCAGAGTAGAACATTGGCTGCAAGAAGGAACAGAAACAATCCCTAGCTGTTCTGGATTTGAGGGAAGCGCTTAGGGTGAATAGGGTGCGTGAGCGAGCATGCGATATTAAGAGCAGAGAAGCAAAGAGTAGAGAAAGACGAGAAGAGAGAAGAGAAGAGAAGAGAAGAGAAGAGAAGAGAAGAGAAGAGAAGAGAAGAGAAGAGAAGAGAAGAGAAGAGGAGAGAAGAGAAGAGAAGAGAAGAGAAGAGAAGAGAGGGAGAAGAGAAGAGAGGGAGAAGAGAAGAGAGGGAGAGGGAGAGGGAGAGGGAGAGGGAGAGGGAGAGGGAGAGGGAGAGGGAGAGGGAGAGGGAGAGGGAGAGGGAGAGGGAGAGGGAGAGGGAGAGGGAGAGGGAGAGGGAGAGGGAGAGGGAGAGGGAGAAGGAGAAGGAGAAGGAGAAGGAGAAGGAGAAGGAGAAGGAGAAGGAGAAGGAGAAGGAGAAGGAGGAGGAGAAGGAGGAGGAGAAGGAGGAGGAGAAGGAGGAGGAGAAGGAGGAGGAGAAGGAGGAGGAGAAGGAGGAGGAGAAGGAGGAGGAGAAGGAGGAGGAGAAGGAGGAGGAGAAGGAGGAGGAGAAGGAGGAGGAGAAGGAGGAGGAGGAGGAGGAGGAGGAGGAGGAGGAGGAGGAGGAGGAGGAGGAGGAGGAGGAGGAGGAGGAGGAGGAGGAGGAGGAGTTGGAGGAGGAGGAGAAGGAGAAGGAGAAGGAGAAGGAGAAGGAGAAGGAGAAGGAGAAGGAGAAGGAGAAGGAGAAGGAGAAGGAGTAGGAGAAGGAGAAGGAGAAGGAGAAGGAGAAGGAGAAGGAGAAGGAGAAGGAGGGACAGGCAGCTTGCCTTCCATCGCTCTGCTGTACGGTTGGTGAGTCGTTCGAAACAGCCCTCGTGCACTGACACGTTCTGAAAGCGGGGTTGGAGATCCAGGGAGCATTTTTTAGGCGCCTCATAAGTCGATCAAAACAGCCCCTCGTGCACTGACACTTTCTGAAGGGAGGGGTGTTGGAGATCCAGGGATGCAGGGCATGAAGCGACAAGGAGGAGGTACGGAATTGACCAGCACAGCACAGCACCGCACAGAGCAGCGCAGCACAGCACAGCACAGCACAGCACAGCACCGCACAGCGCAGCGCAGCACAGCACAGCACAGCACAGCACAGCACAGCACAGCACAGCACAGCACAGCACAGCACAGCACAGCACAGCACCGCACCGCACAGCACAGCACAGCACAGCACAGCACAGCACAGCACAGCACAGCACAGCACAGCACAGCACAGCACAGCACAGCACAGCACAGCACAGCACAGCACCCTATAAGCTGACGCATACCTGCAGCCTGACGACGGTCGAAAAGAGCCTCCTCATCTCGTGCTGCCCCCCCACGTCCTTGGTGTCGAGAAACACGCCCCCATCGCGCATCTGTAGCCCCAACCAGCCCAGCTGTACTTTACAGTGCCCCGTGCAGCCTACCTGCAGTCTGACCACGGCTGAGAAGAGCCGCCTCATCTCGTGCTGCCCCCCCACGTCCTTAGTGTCCAGAAACACGCCCCCGTCGCCCATGCACTTCACCACCGGGGGTGGTGGGGAGGAGGAGGAAGGAGAGGAGGAGGATGGGGAGGCCGCAGAAGCAGAAGCAGCAGCAGTAGCAGGAGCACCAGCAGTGCCACCAGCAGTGCCACCAGCAGCGCCACTAGCAGTGCCATCAGCAGAAGGAGCAGAAGCAGAGGAGGAGGAGTTTGTTTGTTGGGACTGATCCCGCATTGTTTTGGCGAACCAATCACAGTGCAGGAAGGCTGCCAGCGCACCGGCTGAGCCTCCCCCGAATAGGACGTGCGATGCCGCCCGCAGGTTGTGGTGCTGCAGGAGATGGCTCACGATGGCCGGCATGATGTGTCTGCCTCGGAAGAAGATGAACGAGTTGGTGCCCTGTGGCGCAGTGCATGAAACGACAGGAAGAGAGGTGAAAGGAAGGGAGGGAGGAAGGTTGGAGAAGTGTCAGAGGCTACCTCAAAAGAATGTGGATAGATAAGCACAAGCATAGCAGAGCCCGCCCGACCACATTCAGCGCAGCAGCAGCCCCTTCCCCCCACCCCCCACCCCCCTTCTCCCCACACACAACACACACATGCACCGGTGCTTCGATGCGGTAGCTTTTGTTGTCAGAAAAAGAAGCGAGGTGAATTTTGAGTCAACTCAAACTCCCCCGTCCCCGCACACACGCACCGGTACTTCGATGCGGTAGCTCTTGTTGCCAGAAAAGGAAGCGCCGTCGCAGTAGCGCACCACCACACGGTTCCAACTGAAGAACTCTATAAAGGGGACAACAGGCCATGCCCAGTAAACGGGAACAGAGAGTATTGGATCAGTAGCGCACCACCACACGGTTGCAACTGAAGAACTCTATAAAGGGGACAACAGGCCGTGCCAAAGCGATGGGAAAGAGGAGCAGGAGATCAGGTAAAAGAGGAGTGTAGGTGGTGTGGGGGAAGACAAGGGTGGGGGTGTGGGTGAGAAATGATTCACGTGTGATGGGGGTGAGTGGGTGAAAAAAGGGGGTGCTTTCGAAGGGGATGTGTGAATTGTGTGGAGGAGAGTGGGAAGGTACGGTTGCACAAAACAGAATGGTAACCAGGAGGAAAATTTGCACGGTGTCCGGACCTCCTACCTGTTCGTGAGACCTAATTATTTGCAAATTTAGCAACATGTTTCCAAGCCACAAGATACGTGCTGGTTTGCTCACTGGGCTGGTCGATCCTACGGTCGAATCAAAAGACTCACTGGGATTGATCCTATAACGAGGATGCTCACCAGGGTTGATCGCAGGGTTGGGAGAGAGAATGCCTATGAACGAATATGGCTGCATTCGATTGGACGAGCCTAGCTTGGTGAGCGATCGGTTGTAGCAATCGCTGATGGAGTCGCACCAGGCGCCGCCCTGCCATGCCATGTGCGTGAGGGGCAGGGGAGGGAGGAAGAGATGGAAAGGGAGGGGCAGGGAAAGGGAGTGAAGGAGAGGAAGAGGGAGAGAGGGAAAGAGAACGGGAGAGAGGGACAGAGAGGGGAGGAGCGGGGCAGAGAGAAAGGAGAGGGAATGAAGAAAAGAAGAGTTGGGTATAGAGGGCAACGAAGGGGAAAGATGGGAAGAGAGGACAGAGAGGGGGAGGGGCAGGCAGCTCAGTACCTCTGATAAAAACGTATAGAGCGCTACATTCATCAATATATGTGATAAGACAACGGCAACACTACATTTCATCTGTACTTTCATTTCATGTCGTGCATACACCTGAACCTGAACAGCATCGAAACTATCAGTGAGCCTGATTTGAGGCTCCATACCTCGAGAAGATGAACCTAGGTTAGATGATTCTCTTACCTCGAGAAGATGAACCTAGGTTAGATGATTCTCTTACCTCGAGAAGATGAACCTAGGTTAGATGATTCTCTTACCTCGAGAAGATGAACCTAGGTTAGATGATTCTCTTACCTCGAGAAGATGAACCTAGGTTAGATGATTCTCTTACCTCGAGAAGATGAACCTAGGTTAGATGATTCTCTTACCTCGAGAAGATGAACCTAGGTTAGATGATTCTCTTACCTCTAGAAAGATGACCCACTTGTTAGCCCCGTCGCCTGACCCTGCCTGAAAGTGGAACCCGGGCGGTGTGCCGTCCAGACACACTGTGTGGCACGTGGGATGGCAGAGAATCACAATGAGGGGGTCATCGGACAAGGGAAGCGACAATGTGTGAGAGAGAGGGAGAGAGAGAGGGAAGAGGCACAGGGAGAATCTCTGCAAAGTTTCACCTTTCTTTAGTCACCATGCCCATGCTACTTTTCTCTAATCACCACTTCAGCCTCTCCAGCACTCTCAGAAAACACAAAGACAGGGTAACTCATGCCAACTCACACCCAGTGGCACACCTCCACTCCACCTGACCACCAGTAGCACACACACGTTACCGTTGGCTACACTGTACACCTCCCGTCCGAGGTGTAACAATCGCCAAACTTCGCCAATGTACCAACGCGAACATTTTACAATCCACTCCCACGCGTACCCGCTAAGCCGCCGAGTGTATCGTTGACGATCGTTACAGGGATCTTCGGTCCCGTTTTAGGCACTGCCTTATATCGAATCAATTCAACAAACGGCGCGCTCCCGGCGAGATCGTTTCGTGTGGTGGAGGACACGAGCATCCAGATGAATGGGAACGCGAGGGCGAGAGTGATCTGACGGCTGAACGGTCTTAATCGCGACGCGGCTAATCGCAAGGCGGGAGACACCGCGCCCATGCTTGCAGAGATCGAGTGATCTGACGGCTAGAGGCCCGTAGTTGCGAAGCTCGAATGATCGGACGGTTAGACGGACGTAACTGCGAAGCTCGAGTCCGCTCTTCAAGGCGTTTACGAAGCTTGACTTAAGTGGATCGCATCAGTGATCGTGGTGGAGATATAATAAGTTACAGCTCCATGGAAGCTTCACAAATAGCTTCGTCAGAGGAAGAATGTAAGTAAGCGCTGGCCTGACTAATGACAGTACGAGTCCGTTCCTGACGGAATTCGACTATGCCGCGAAACGTCAGATCCTTCTCGCCGACGGCAATTCAAAGTCTCTCGCCGCGAGTCGTCGCATCCACCAGTGGCGTTCGGCATTCTCCTACATCGCGTGACCAACAAGCGTCCCGCTATTTTCAAAATCGCATTAAAAAATCAGGCCCAAACTTCAACATTACACTAGTGTTAGAACGTAGCACGTAGCATGACAGTCTAGTGACGACAACTTGCAAGCCAGACTGTGTGCTTCTAAACACTATGCCGTACGCTTCAGCTGCTCTCCCAGTCCCTCAATGATTTCGTGCACTCTCGGTCTGCTCGGCAGTCACAATCACCTTCCTTCAAACTAGAGTGGTTCACATGCTTTACCGATTTGAACCGCGACGCACCACCAGCCTGGACATTTGATTGATACTGTACACACACACACGAGTGGTGTTTGGTTCAGGCGAGGGGTGTTCCAGGCGACGGCACTTTCGAGGCTGGTCAGGTTGATCGATTGTGGCTCGCTGTCGCGCGCGAAAGCCTTCAGTGATGTTGGTCGATTTCGTACAGGCACGCGAGTGGCCAGTGTGCCCGTATACGGCCTTAGCGAAAGTCGCCAGCGGTTCTGCCAGTGATCAGGTTTTAGCGGAGGATCAATGTCGTTTCGCCTACCATGTATTTTTCAGCTATATTTTTACATGGAACCGATGCTGTGAAGTAATTATGCCTTTTATCGCGTACGATTGGAAGCATCATGGTCAACTGATAGAACCTAGAAAAATCCGTGATAGCCACCTTTTCCTTTTCACGAACTCTGCTCCACGAGCTCCCCCCTACAAGAACCGCGTCGCGACTGCCAAGCAATGCTGCTCCCAAACAACCTCGTCGGTCCGTCCAGTGTGCGAACCATTTCCAAACTGCTCGTTTCCAGTTAGCTTTCCTTGGAGCGAGTTCCTGCTGCCGGATCGAGTCCATTCGAGCTCATTGGTAGCATTCCCGTATCAATCGCTGTAGCGGGCTTATACCAGTAATGCACTGATGTTGCCTATGTTGTGGAGATGCTCATAATAGTCATGCACAGATACGGGTGATGTGCTCTTATCGAGTGTTGCTTATCGCATCGTCATGGAACCAGCCGCGTCTGCTGCTGCAGCGTCTGCTCCAGTAAGCCTCCCTCGCTCCTCGGCAAAACCTCCCTTCCCCCCACCCCCTCCCCTCCCCCATCCCTTCTCCCCCAAAATTCTTACTAGCCGTTCTGTCGATCCCTCTCTTTCTCGTACCCGCTAGGTGCTTCAATGAGCTCTCAGTCCTACCTGCGGTCGACATGCATTCCATCAAGGTGACTTTTGCGTCGACTCAAAAGTCAAAAGTCTCCTCGTTTTGAGTCGAGTCGACTCAAAAGTCAAAAGTCTCCTCGTTTTGAGTCGAGTCGACTCAAAAGTCAAAAGTCTCCTCGTTTTGAGTTGAGTCGACTCAAAAGTCAAAAGTGTCCTCGTTTTGAGTCGAGTCGACTCAAAAGTCAAAAGTCTCTTCTTTTTGAGTCGAGTCGACTCAAAAGTCAAATGTCTCCTCGTTTTGAGTCGAGTCGACTCAAAAGTCAAAAGTGTCCTCGTTTTGAGTCGAGTCGACTCAAAAGTCAAAAGTCTCCTCGTTTTGGGTCGAGTCGACTCAAAAGTCAAAAGTCTCCTTGTTTTGGGTCGAGTCGACTCAAATGTCGCTTCAGTGAGCTCTCAGTCCTACCTGCGGTCGACACGCATGCCATCAAAAGCATCACACATCCCTCTTGAAAATCATCCGACATCACGCGTCAATAGCGATAATTGCTCCATTGCTGACGGTAATTAGATGCCTTGTGAGCGATTTTTGGGGAAATTCCCAAATATGCTCCAGTTTTTACGATAATTGGAAGCCACCACCCCAACCCCACGAATTTCTTTTGAAACCTCTCGAACCCCTTTCCTCCTCCACCCCCTATGCAGCGTCGGTACCTGCTAACAGTGGAGTATATCGGGAATGCTTTTAGCGGATCGCAACCAGGCACTGTGGAAGTTTTGTGATCTCACAAGAATCTCTCTCCTCCTCCATCCCCTCTGCAGCGTCGCTACCTGCTGACGGTGGAGTATATCGGGAGTGCTTTTAGCGGGTGGCAGGAGCAGCCATTGTGGTGGTATCTTGACCTCTCAAAGCTCTTTCCTCCTCCACTCCCTCTGCAGCGTCGCTACCTGCTGACAGTGGAGTATATCGGGAGTGCTTTTAGCGGGTGGCAGAAGCAGCCGCTGGGGAACTTTTGTGACCCTTCAAGAGCCTCTCTCCTCATCCACCCCGTTTCTGCAGCGTCGCTACCTGCTGACAGTGGAGTATATCGGGAGTGCTTTTAGCGGGTGGCAGAAGCAGCCGCTGGGGAACTTTTGTGACCCTTCAAGAGCCTCTCTCCTCATCCACCCCGTTTCTGCAGCGTCGCTACCTGCTGACAGTGGAGTATATCGGGAGTGCTTTTAGCGGGTGGCAGAAGCAGCCTTTGGGCAACAACCCGCTGCCGTCAGTGCAAGGGGCTCTTGAGGTGGGGTGGGGGAGGTTGAGCGTGTGTGAGCGTGTGTGGGCATGTGTGAGTGTGTGTGAGCGTGTGGGAGTGTTCGTGTGTGGTGCAAACGGCGGATCGTTGTGGTGTGATTGTTCCAGGAGTGCGTTCCAGGAGTGCGTTCCAGGGGTGCGTTCCGGGGGTGCGTTCCAGGGGTGCGTTTCGGGGGTGCGTTCCAGGGGTGCGTTCCAGGGGTGCGTTCCAGGGGTCCATTCCAGTCCAGGGGTGCATTCTAGGGGTGCGTTCTAGGGGTGCATTCTAGGGGTGCATTCCAGTCCAGGGGTGCATGCTAGGGGTGCATGCTCACTGGAACCATGCCTTCATGGACGGTGTTGTAATTTTGTACCACTTGTCATTCCCACGTGCTTATGCATGAATAGTGTCGCCTTTCGCTCGCTCATGGAGGAGTTTTTTTTCAGTTTATATGGGTATTCTTGAATCGACTCAAGTCATTTCCGGGTGCGTTTGCATGAATGATAGTACCGTTTACTCACTCCACTACCTCTCGACTCTTTCTTGCCCTGCAGGAGGCAATAGGGAAGCTGGTGGGGTCTGTTCCTGCAGGCAGACAGAAGAGGCAGAGAGGCAGAGGCAACAGGAGACCGCAGTCTGAAGCACAGGGGCGTGCAGGCAAGGAGGACGGTGGTCCAGACGCAAAAGCAGGTGCAGGTGCAAAGGCAGACGCTGGTGCAAATCGACTCGGAACATCCCGTGCGTCGGATCGCTGTGATGTTGCGGAGGCAGCAGCAGCATCCCGTGGTGACACTTTGGAGGCTCCGCCGCCGCTACTCCCTCTGCCTCAAGTCGTCGGCTCCAGCAGAACAGTTACGCGCTTGACTCGTGATTTTTTTTTGTCGTGATTTTGTTGGCTGCTCAGAAGTTGTCACGTGTGTGTTGCTTTGGCTCGTGTGCTCAGTGTGATGTGTGCGGATTGCATGTGCTGATGTGGACCAATCAGGATGCGCCTGTCCCGCTTTGGCTCATGCTCGAGTCGAGAGACCATGAATCCTAGTGTGCTGCATCCCGTTGAACCGCATGTGCTGATGTGGACCAATCAGGATGCAGGAGTGCACGCACTGGGCAACACGTGCCACGTGGACATTCACCGAGTGAGCCGCCGCTATCCAGGCAAGGAGGTTCGTGTGTGAGGAGCTAGGGGAGAGAAGTGGAGGAGGAGGGGGGGAGGGGGGGGGGGGGGATGAAAGAGGTATGGGGAATTGGGGGGAGGGGAGAAGTGTGTGCGTTCGGGCGCACACTCTCTTAAAATCCTTTTGAGGCGCCTCAATAGTTTGCGCGCACACTCTCTTAAAATCCTTTTGAGGCGCCTCAATAGTTTGCGCGCACACTCTCTTAAAATCCTTTTGAGGCGCCTCAATAGTTTGCGCGCACACTCTCTTCACTCCGTGTCCACTCTCTTCACTCCGTGTCCACTCTTTTCACTCCGTGTCCACTCTTTTCACTCCGTGTCCACTCTCTTCACTCCGTGTCCACTCTCTTCACTCCGTGTCCACTCTCTTCACTCCGTGTCCACTCTCTTGCGAGGCCCTTCCAATCCTGCAAGATTGTGCTCTCTACACATGCTACTTCGTCTTGTTGTACGCTCATGTCCAGACTTTTCAACATGCGACTTCTAGATGTGCAAGAGGTGCAAGGTTCTATCTACCGTACCCTCCACACGTGTAAAGCCAAGGCGCTCATTTGTCATGTTCCTTGTGCACTTGTATTGCAATCCTGGTTTCGTCAGGTGCCACCCTGGATACCAAAGGAGCTTACACGGGCAATCAACCATTTCCTGCAGGTTCCGTACCACAATTACCTTACCGTACCACAATCACCTTACCGTACCACAATTACCTTTCCGTGCCACAATTACCTTTCCGTGCCACAATTACCTTTCCGTGCCACAATGACCTTTCCGTGCCACAATTACCTTACCTGCCAATCACGTGTGTGTGCATATACATACATACTGCCAACCAACCATCCACATCGCTGAACGATTTTTGAGACGTCTCAAAATCCAGATACATTGAAATCACTTTTGAGAATTCTCAAAAGTGATTTCCATACACACTACCAACCAACCATCCACATCGTTCAACGATTTCAAGAGCTTTTGAACGGTTTTGTTTGTTCAATTGTTTTTCTTGAGAGGCGGCAATCAACCTTTCTCTCCCTCCCTCTCCCTCTCACTGGTCGTTTCTTTCTCTCTCCCAAGAAGATTCGTTCCCGTCTGACCATCCGTTCCCCATTACGTGCAGCTGTCAGCAGCAGAGGCATCAGTGGTGGCGGCGAAGGAGGTGCCTATGTCCTTCCACGCCCGATTCCAGGCCTCTGAGCGAACGTATGTTAGGGTATGAAGCAGGGAGAGGTGGGGGGCGGGGGGCCGGGAGCGGGGGGATGGGGGTGACCAGTGGCGAAGGAGGTGCCTCTGTCCTTCCACGCCCGATTCCAGGCCTCTGAGCGAACGTGCGTCAGGGGTTGATGAGGTGGCAGGTGGGGGGAACGACAGGTGGGAGGGGAGAAGGTGTACGGGAGGGAAGAAGGTGGGTAGCATCAGTGGTGGCAGCGAGTGAGGTTCTTCTCTCCTTCCACGCCAGATTCCAGCCAGGCCACGTCAGGGGGTGACGCAGTGGAGGGGAGGGGAGAGGTGGGGGGGTGGGAGGGGGGGTGGGAGGAGGGGGGGGGGGGGAAGAGGAGTGGGGATTTCCATCCAGGTGCCTCTTTGCCTTTTGCTCCGCTTTTGCTGGCGCCCGTGCCGTTGTTCCTTCTGCCGCTCTTCTTCTCATCGCGCTTCTCCTTCACACCTTCCTGCTTCCCCTCTCTGTCTCCCTTACCCTCCCCTTTTCCTCCATCCTCCCTCCTGTGCCAGTGGCACAGTGCCACGCCGTCCGCCCTGCCATGCTCCCCTCATCGTCAGTCTCCTCCAATTCATCTCCCCTCCTCCGCTCCCCCTCCCCCCTTCCGCCCCCCTCCAGCTACCTGTACCGCATACACGCGTCGCCATCCACCCATCCCTCCATCTTCCATTGCAACCGTCTGTGCTACATGCCCGCCCATCTTGACTTAGTGTATGCTATGCGTCTTGTGCCCTTTTTTCCTCTCTCCCTCCCTCCCTCCCTCCCCTCCAGCTACCTGTACCGCATACATGCGTCGCCATCCGCCCATCCCTCCATCTTCGATCACAACTGCGTGTGGCACGTGCCCGCCCACCCTGACTTACATGCCATGCACCATGTGCCTTATTTCCTCTCCACCTCCCCTCCCCCCCCCCCCCCCCCCCTCCCCCCTCCAGCTACCTGCACCGCATACACGCGTCACCATCCAGCTACATGTACCGCCATCGGGTGTGGCTCGTGCCGTGTCATCTCAACGTGCATGCATGGCAGTTTCTGACGTCCCCAACTCCTCCCTGCCCCTTCCCTTCTGTGCTCCCCTCCAGCTACCTGTACCGCATACACGCGCCAATCAAGTGTGGCACGTGCCTGCTCATCTTGACTCACATACCATGCGCCATGTGCCCCCCCTGTCTCCTCTCCCCTCCAGCTACCTGTATCGCATACACGCGTCACCAGCCGCCTATCCCTCCATCTTCGATCGCAACCGGGTGTGGCACGTGCCCGCTCACCTGGACGTGCATGCCATGCGCGCTGCAGCGGCGGCTCTCTGTGGCTTCCACGACTTCTCCTCCTTCAGAGCGTCAGGCTGTCAGGTGCGCCTGCGGGTGTGCTAATTCGGAGTTATCGTTAAGGTATATACCATCTCTGAGACCCGTAGGAGCTACCATGAACGCCCCTCCATGCCATGCGCGCTGCAGCAGCGCCGCTCTGCGGCTTCCAAGTCTTCTCCTCCTTCAGGGCCTCAAGCTTCCAGGTGCGCTCGTGGGTGTGCATTCCGAATGATCAGATTCGTACATGCGGGCTCCGAGGCCCTTTGAACTGTCTTAGATGCGCGTGCATGCCATGCCATGCCATGCGCACTGCAGCAGCGCCTCTCTGTGGTTTCCACGACTTCTCCTCCTTCAGGGCTTCAGGCTGTCAGGTGCGCTTGTGGGTACAGCAGCTGTAACTCTATGTGGCTCATCTCGTCTGATTTCTTCCGCCTCCACCCCGCTTCTCTCCCCCGTGCTCGTCCCCTTCTGGCACGCCCTGATCGTCCCTCTTCCTCCCACCCACGTCCGCATGCATTTCCCTTCTCTCTCCCCATCCCCACCATACCTCCCTCCCACCAGGCACGCTCTCCTCTCCGCTCGTTCACAAAGCTCTCGATCTTTGAGGTCCCCTGTTGGCCCGCCTGCCTGCCTGCCCAAACCCCACTCCCCATTCCCCCCCAACTCCCCGCCACTCCCCACTCCCCATCACTCCTCCCCCCAGGCGCGCTCCCCTCTGCGCTCTCTCCATCTTTGAGGTTCCCTGCTGGCCCGCCTGCCTGCCCGCCTCCTCCCACCCCCCACTCCCCCCACTCTTCCCCACCCACTCCCCCCCGTTCCCCCTCCTGCTCCCCTCTCTGCTCTCTCACGGAGCTCTCAATCTTTGAAGTGCCTTCCTGGCCCGCCTGCCTGCCTCCCCAAAACCTCCCACGCACAACTCCGCCCAGGCGCGCTCCCCTCTGCGCTCCCGTCTGCGCTCCCCTCTGCGCCCCCCTCTGCGCTCCCCTCTGCGCTCACCTCTGTGCTCCCCTCTGCGCTCCCCTCTGCGCTCCCCTCTGCGCTCCCCTCTGCGCTCCCCTCTGCGCTCCCCTCTGCGCTCCCCTCTGCGCTCCCCTCTGCGCTCCCCTCTGCGCTCCCCTCTGCGCTCCCCTCTGCGCTCCCCTTTGCGCTCCCCTTTGCACTCTCTCCCACAGCTCTCCTCCGCGCTCTCTCACACACAGCTCTCAATCTTCTCCGTGCCCGGCTGGTCTGCCTGCCCGCCTGCTTCCCCAAGACCTAACTGATAGAACTGGAGCTGAACTGATTGATTGATCAAGAAGGCACTAGGCCTTAAGTACAAACAAGGTTGGGTTGAGCAAAGCTAGGGAAAGGATGGGATGGGAATCCTAGCAAATCTCCAATTGGTGAGTTGGCAGATTTGCAGGATTACGAGGGAATCCCAACCAGATAGGGTTGGGATTACAAATCTACACCCAACCCGCAAATAACCTAAACCATATAAAGTAGAGTACACAAAGTGTTGACAACCTATTTCTAACACACACCCTATGCTGTAACACATCAGCCACAGGGAGGCCCAACACCCATGGCCGAGAAGAGGCGGTAATGGTCCTTGCGAACTAGTGACTTGGTGAACAAGTCAGCAAGGTTGCAGTCGGAGGCAATGTGGTCAGCCTTCAGCTGCTCGCGCTGCACGAGCTCACGAAGAAAGTAATGGCGGACCTCAATGTGCTTGGTGCGGCCGTGGAAGACTGGGTCCTTGGTGAGATGAATGGTGCTCTCGTTGTCACACCAAAGCGTGGGGGTTGGTTGAGGATACCCTAGTTCGGCCAGCAAGAAGGAGAGCCAACGGGCCTCCTGGGCAGCCATGGTCCCGGCATACAGCTCTGCCTCACATGTAGACAGTGAGACGGAGGACGAACGAGTGGCGCGCCAACTCACAACCCCGCTGCCAAGGGTAAAGCAATACCCCTGAGAAGAGCGCCGATCACTCTGGGGTGGAAGGGGTGGAAGTCGAGAGACCCTAAGGTGCTCTTGAGCTTGTTGTGCCATTCCCCGGGTGCTTGCTTGAGGCCATACACTGGCCGATTCAGCTTCCATACAGTGTCTGGTGGGAATGGGGCTGGAAATCCTTCGGGCCGCTCCATATAGATGTCTTCTCGAAGAACCCCTTGAAGAAACGCAGAAGACACATCCATGCTCTCAACCTCCATGTCATCTCGAGCGGCAACATCGAGAAGGGTGCGTAGTGTGGGAGGTTTGGCGGTGGGAGAGAAAGTTGCAAAGAAGTCAAGTCCTTCCTTTTGGGTAAATCCCTAGGAAAAGTACCGGGCTTTGAAGACAGGAAATTCGCCTGGAAGTTGTTTCACCCGGAAAATCCATTTGCCCTTCACGATGTTGACGCCAGAGGGAGGAGAGACATCTGTAAAAGTTCCTGTGTGAATGAAGGCCTCACATTCTGCGACAATGGCCCCTAACCACTGGGCGGCGTGAGGACCTGAAACTGCTTCAGCATAAGTGAGAGGTGTGGGGATGGAGGGGTTGTCTGAAAAGTTGAGGGTGGGAGAGTCTGCTATATCTGGGAGGAGGGAAGGAGCTGGGGAGACTGCGTGATACTGGAGGGGGAAGCGGGTGATGGGGGGTCGGAGATGGTGGAGGGAGCGGGAAGAGGAGGAGATGGAGTGGCGGTAGGAGGAAGACTGTCAAAGTCAGCCCAAGAGAAGGAGGCGGAGGTTATGTTGAGATAGACGCACGGAGGACGCTGTGTCTTGCGTCTGGACGCAGCGTCTGGACGCACGGACGCAGGACGCACGGCGATTTTTTTTTCGGGCTGCCCGAAAAAAAAAATCCCGATCGCAAAATTGACATTCGCGATTTCGACGCGAATGTCGAAATCGCGAAATTTCGACCCCCCCTTGCCCAAATCGCCATTCTAAAACAGCCCCCCCAACATTTCATAACCCTTCATGCAAATTTGAAATTCTCAAACCTCTCAACCACTTCACATCTACAAAACCCAACCTTTGTGGCCCACCACCAAGCCCATTTAGCAATGCAACCAAGACATTTGTGGTTTCTCATTTTACCCACCCACCCAATTCTCTTTCGTAAACCCTAGAGGTTTTAGCTTACTAGGAAAAAATTGTTGTTGGGGACAAATTTGCCTTGAAAGTGTGGAATGTCCCCCCCCCCCCCTCCCCCCCCCCCTCCCCCCCCCCCTCTTCCCATGCCCTATAACAAAAAACTTTGCCTGCCCAGGGGGGTTTTTTTGCCCTGCCCGGGCTTGCGTCTTTTGGTGCGTCTTTCTGGTCCTGGTGCTGCGTCCTGCGTCTGGACGCGGAGGAGAAGGGGAAGCCTTGGAGGAGGGGTAGAATGGGTGGGATTCATCGAATAAAACATCTTGGCTGCGATAGAGTTTGTTGGTGGTAGGATGGAGGAAGAGGTAGTCTGGCGAGTCTGAGTTGTGCCCGAGGTACACGCACGTGATCGTTTTGGGAGCAAGTTTGCCGCCAGCTGCACGACGGGCTTGGGAGTTGAGGAGGACATAGGAAGTGCACCCCCATACACGAAGAGGGCGGACGGATGGCTTTTGACCCGTCCACAGCTCTACGGGGGTGTTGTGGGTGTGGTGAGGATGAGGATGGAGATTGTGGAGGGTGGCAGCATGGAGCATGGCATATCCCCAAAGAGATGGAGGGGCGGAAGCATGAGTGAGGAGGCAGCGAGCAATCTGCACCAAGATGCGGTTTCGGTTTTCAGCAACACCGTTATGTTGAGGACTGTCTGGGAGAGTGAAGGTCTGACGAATACCCTCAGTAGAGCAGAAAGCTTTGAGAGTGTTGTTGCGGAATTCACCGCCACCGTCAGAGTGAAGAAACTTGATTTTGGTTTTGAAGTGTGAATGAGCCTGCCGGGCCCATTCCATGATGATGGCTGGGGCCTCGGATTTGGCGGTGAGAAGATGGACGGACACATAGCGGGAGTAGTCATCAATGATGACAAGGAAGTAGAAGTATCCGCCACGGGAACGAACAGGAGCTGGACCCCAAAGGTCCATGTGCACGCGATCGAGAGGTGCGGTGGAGATGGACTCGGTGGGAGGATGGGGCTGTTCACGAAGCTTGCTCTGTGCGCAGTCAAGGCAAGGCAGCCCTAGGTTGGAGGTAGGAGAGGGAAGTGAGGCTGGAAGGCCGTGGAGGAGCTGTTTTGTGGCAAGGTCTGAAAGCGCGCGGAAGTTGATGTGGCCGAGGCGGTGATGGAAGAGCATGGTTCTGTCGGAAAGGAGACGGCAGTGACAGGTGGAGGAGTCAGAGGAAGGGAGCGGAAGGTGGGTGAGCGAGCACGTTTGAATGGGAGGTACAACGAGCGTGTAGAGGTTGTTGGAGTTGAGGGTGAAGCGGGCTAGATGAATGTCGGTTTTGGCGTCAAAGAGGTCACAGTAGTCGACATCATTGGGAAAGATGGTGATCACTCCTGCATGTTGGATTTCACGCTGTGCAAGGAGGTTATAGCGGAGGGTTGGGGCACAGATGCCAGTGACTGTGCCGGATGGGAAGGCTGGACAGGGAACTGTGGAGGACCCATGGCATTGGATGGAGAAGCTAGAATCGGCTCCAAGGAGAGGGGTGGGAGCCTGGTAGGGAATGAATGCGGTTTGGTCTTTGAGCACTGTGTGGGTGGCACCACTGTCTAATACGAACTCGATCCCCTGTGTGGTTGAAACACCGATGTACTGCGACTCCTTCTCATTAATAATGCCAGCACCAGAGAACAACAGATTAAGGCGAACATCAGATGGGGCACTAGCAAATGCTTGGGCAGGTTCCTCCACTGCCTCAACCTGGTTCACGCGACGGGGTGGTGCCCAGTTGGGAGGGCGCTTGTCCTTGGAGACACCATTGACGTCATACCACTTGTCATCTCGCTTCTTGAAGCAAGTGGCCTCAGGGTGGTTGGTGCCGTTGCATTTCTGCCCCGCACGTGGACCCTTCCTAATGATGTAGGGGCATGGGGGAAAGGAGTTGCGCCTCTGGCCCTGCTGAGAGCGAAATGGGATATCAGGGGAGTAGCGCACAGCATTGACGGATGCTTGGGCGGCAAAGTCCTTTTCAACAGAGAGAAGGGCCGATGCGACTTTCTCGAAGGTGAGTTCCTTGGTGGGGAGCTGCTTGAGCATGGAACTGGTAACGTTGTACGCCGGGATAAGTCCTACGAGAAGCCCAGCTGCAGGTGCCTATTCGGGGAAGATGATCCCAATCTCCTTGAGCTCTTCATGGATGTTGCGGATTTCATAAACGTAGTCCGCCATGCCCGGGCATTCCTCAAGACGGATTTGGAACATGCGAGGAATGAGGATTGCTACTCCCACTGCAGTTTTGTCATGAAAGCGGTCCTGGAGGTACTTCCATATGTCATGCGCGGAGCGAAAGGTGCGATAAGACTTGACAAGCTTAACCGGAGTGGTGGTGATGAAGACCTTAATCACTGCTGCATCCGCCTGCTCCCACACACTGAAGTCGATCTCATACTGGGTGGTCTTAGCCTCAAATGCGGTCTTAGCTGCGGCAGTTGCTCCTTCACCAAGAGGATCGAGAGGGAGAGGCATCTTTCCCTTGACACGGTTGAGGAGGATGTCCTTGAGGAAAATCCTCTTAAGCTCCGTGCTAAGGAGGTGCTTCTCCACTCCGTAGCACCACTCCCCGAAGTTGGTGCTCGTGCCGTTGGGAGCAAGGTTAAGGATGATGAGGTTTCCGATGAGGGTGGAAGTAGAAGTCGCCATTTCGGCGGAGCGCAGCGCTAAAGTCTCCGATACGGAGCGGAGCGAAGCGCGGCGCGGCGATTTTGGAATTGAAGGAAGTCCGAAACGCGATTTCGGCAATAGATAGCCCGTATTCTGATCTGCTACACTGCTTCGCCGATGCCCCTTGTTCTGCTTCGCCGATGCCCCTTTTCTGCTGCGCCGCTGACCTGTTCTGCTGCGCCGCTGACCTGTTCTGCTGCGCCGCTGACCTGTTCTGCTGCGCCGCTGAACCTGTTCTGCTGTGCCGCTGGACTTGTTCTGCTGCGCCGCTGGACCTGTTCTGCTGCGCCGCTGGACCTGTTCTGCTGCGCCACTGGACCTGTTCCGCTGCGCCGCTGGACCTGTTCTGCTGTGCCGCTGGACCTGTTCCGCTATGCCGCTGAACCTGTTCTGCTGCGCCGCTGGACCTGTTCCGCTGCGCCGCTGAACCTGTTCCGCTGCGCCGCTGGACCTGTTCCGCTGCGCCGCTGAAAACCTGTTCTGCTGCGCCGATGAAAACCTGTTCGAAGTTACGAAATTGCGAAAATTTGCCACGGAGATTAAAAACCAGAAGCTTACGATGAAGGAAGTTGAAGGCGGAAAATGTCGCCGTTGAAAAACGGGATGCGCGATGAAGGAAGCCGAATGCGCGTTTGTCCAGAGCGATGAAGTGAAGTTGAAAAAACGCTAAGCGTAGGAGCCGGGAGCCGAAATAGGCATAGCCTAGAAGAAGAGAACCATCACGACCAAGGATCGGATTCCGCGTGAGCGGAGTTTACTAGCTCGATACCATGATAGATCTGGAGCTGAACGGATTGATTGATCAAGAAGGCACTAAGCCTTAAGTACAAACAAGGTTGGGTTGAGCAAAGCTAGAGAAATGATGGGATGGGAATCCTAGCAAATCTCCAATTGGTGAGTTGGCAGATTTGCAGGATTACGAGGGAATCCCAACCAGATAGGGTTGGGATTACAAATCTACACCCAACCCGCAAATAACCTAAACCATATAAAGTAGAGTACACAAAGTGTTGACAGCCTATTTCTAACACTAACTCTCCCCCAGTACCCCATCCCCACCACTCCACACCACTCTCCACCACTGCCCCACACCCCTCCCCCCACGCGTGCTTCCCTGTACGCTCGCACAGAGCTCTCCATCTTCTTCCCCATGCCCTGCTGGCCCGCCTGCCTGCCTGCCTCCTCAAACCTCAGCTGCCCCCCACCCCACTCCCCCCACCCCACCAGGCGTGCTCCCCTGTGCGCTCTCTCACAGAGCTCTCCTTCTTCCCCATGCCCTGCTGGCCCGCCTGCCCGCCTGCCTCCTCAATCCTCAGCTGCCCCCCACCCGACTCCCCCCCATCCCTCCCTCTCTTCCCCCACTTTTCCCCTCCAGGCGAGCTCCCCTCTGCGCTCTCTAAGTGAGCTCTCCATATTTGAGGTGCCCTCCTGGCCCGCCTGCCTGCCTGCCGCCCTCCTCCCACTTCCCACCATCTCCCCACTCCCCCACCATTCCCTCCCCCTCCCTCCAGGCGAGCTCCCCTCTGCGCTCTCTAAGTGAGCTCTCCGTGTTTGAGGTGCCCTCCTGGTCCGCCTGCCTGCCGCCCTCCTCCCACCCCTCCTGCACCACGGGGCAAGGACCTGAGGGGGAGAGGAGGGAGATGGCTGAGGGAGGCAAAGGGGAAGAGGTAGAGGTTGCGTGTGGAGAGAAACGAGGCAGGGAAGGGGGGGGAGTGGCTGCGGATGGGGGGACAGAGGGGGCGAGTGGCAAGAGGTTGCGTGGGGAAGAGAGAGGAGAGGAGGCGCAGGGAGACGAGGAGGATGGGGTGGAGAGAGAGGAGGGGGTCGGAGGAGAGAAAAAAGTGGAAAGGAAAGGGGAGAGTGAGAAAGGGGAGAGTGAGAAAGGGGAGAAAAGGAGAGAGGGAGGGATAATAACGGCGACGAAAAGGGAGGAAGGGGAGGAAGAGAAGGAAGGGGAGGGAGGTAATGGAGGGAAAGAAGGAGAGAGAGGGGTGGGAGGGGAGGAAGGGAAAGAAGCGGAGGAACGGGTGCAGATGCTGGTGGTGCGGGCGAGAGCTCCCTCGTTCCTGTACCACCAGGTGCGGCTGCTGGTGGGGCTGCTCAAGGCTGTTGGCGCAGGGGCAGTGCAGCCCGACACAGGTGAGAGACGGGGGTGGGGGGGGGAAGATGGGATGCTAGTAATTCTAGGAGTGTGTACCACCAGGTGCGGCTGCTGGTGGGGCTGCTCAAGGCTGTTGTCGCGGGAGCCGTGGAGCCTGGCGCAGGTGAGGGCAGGGGGACAGAGCGGGAGGACAGGATGAGTGGAGGAGTTAAAGGGAGGAGGGGGGGGGGGGAGGGTGGGTGGGAGAGAGGTGAAGGTGGGGGGAGAGAAGGGAGTACGAGGGCGTGTGAGTGGTTCTAGTGTTGGTGCCACCATGCTCGATCGAGACGCGTTCTCAGATGCGTTCAGCTCTTGTTGAATGTGTTTTGAAACGCGTTGAAAGCGGTTGACACACGAACCTGGTTCTGTTTCTATCACGAAATGTGGTTCCCTCCCTCTGTTTCCTTGTCATTCCACCATGCCCCCTCCGCTCCCCTCCCCTCCGCTCCCCTCCCCTCCCCTCCCCTCCCCTCCGCCTTCCCTCCGCCTCTCCTCCCTCCCTCCCGGCAGTCAAGTCAATCCTGGAAGCAAGGGACATCCGGGGAGTGCCTGCCATGGCGCCTGCCTGCGGCCTCTACCTTGCTAGTGTTGCCTACGGACACAAGAGGCCAAAGCGAGGCTCCTCACAGGAATGAACTGCCCCTAGGGGCTCAAACGAGCTCTCTACAGTGCTGTTTGAAGGTGGCATCATTTCGCCGCGTGGGAATGAGCGCACATCCTGCCAGAGCATATATTCTAGCAGCTGGTTACTGGGTTACACCATGATTGCAGGATCCTGAAGGGCGGTTGAATCGAGGCGGCGTAATCACGCTTGTCTTGCAATACACTTTGATGCTGCTCCGGACCATCATAAAGTCGTTCCTGCTTCTGTAGTCATGCCTTGAATACAACTTTAGTGTCCTCTGGACTAGGCCCGTCCCATAACTTCATTCCCATCCATCCCATCCCATCCCCTGTTGCAAGACTGTTCGGTCAAGTCTGCCTTTTTTTTATAGCCACACAAGTACACTATGCTAACACGGATGTACACTTTCTCAAAGTTAGCGAACAACGGAATGCTTGACTAGAAAGGAGTTGGGGTACAACTAGGAAACCCTAACATGTTTGTACTCACTAAGGAGCACCTCACTACAGCCTATCACAAACATCAACATTTGACACACCCCCATAGGCGAAGTGAGGGGCATCAAAACAAGCAAGGCAGACAAACGGTCATAAGACCAGTCAAGACAAGAAGCAAAGCAAGCTCAGGGTGGATCTCAAGGACACCACACAAATTCCGAGCACAAGCAAGCGGCCACAAGGCCAGTTCAAGAGGTCACTATGATATATATAGGAAAACACAACAAGCAGAGCAAGCAACAAGTCTACAGCAGCCGAGGGCCTACCTCAACAAGCCCCAACTGCACACAGAACCTGTGGTGGTCACCAAGCGCCAGGGCCTTGGTGAAAACGTCTGCAGTGTTGGCCTCTGAGGCCACAAAGTCCAGGCGTGCCTGGCCGCGTCGCTGCAGCTCTCGCAGGAGGAAGTACCTCACGTCAATATGCTTCACTCTGCTCTCCAGTCGAGGCTCTCGACAGAGGAGGATCATGGCCTTGTTGTCAGCGTACAAGGTCGGTGCAAAGCGAGGCCGCTCACCAAGGTCGGCGAGCAAGAAGGTCAACCAGCGAAGCTCCTGTGCCGCCATGGCACCAGCGTAGATCTCTGCCTCTGCACTGGAAGTAGCCACAGACGACGACCGTGTAGACCTCCACGACACAGCACCAGCTCCAAGACTGAAGCAGTAACCCTGAGTCGAGCGCTGAGTCTCCACGTCGACAGCGTAGGAAGAGTCGCAGCGACCAGTCAACGTCCCTCCAAGCACAAGCCCCATGCCTGATGTAGTCGCCAGGTACTTCGCCACCCTCACAGCAGCTGTCCAGTGGACAGGACGGTGTCTCCCAGTCGCAACAAAGCGCGAAAGGATGCTGAGGGGAAAAGCGAGGTCCGGCCGAGTACAAGTCATCAGGTACATGAGGCAGCCCACCAGCTCTGCGTAGGGACCACTGGACTCAAAAGGCTCGTCCGGAAAGGGACCAGTGAGTCTGTGGTCAACAGCAAGAGGTGTGGACTGTGTGGTGGAGAACTGGAAGTCGAACCACCGAAGGACCTGCTGCACCATGTGTGACTGAGTCAGTGTGATGGTGCGAGCGGCTCTGTCCCTGGTGATCTGCAGGCCAAGGTAGCGCTGCAGTTCACCTAGGTCAGTGCATTTGTGTCTCTTCTGCAGTTCGGACTTCACCTGAGCCAGAGCTGCCCTGTCTGCTGTGGCAAAGACCAAGTCGTCGACGTACACTAGTATAAAGAAAGGAGTGGAACCAGTGCGAACAAACAGCGACGGGTCGGCAGAGGAAGGACAAAACCCAAGGTCACGAAGCGTGGAGCGAAGAGTGTCGTGCCACTCACGGGGCGACTGGCGGAGACCGTAGACTGGCCGTCTCAGGCTCCACTGGGTCCCAGGTGGGAAGGTGTCAGTGAAGCCAGGAGGGCGGCGCAGCTAGATCTCCTCGTGTAGTCGGCCCTGGAGAAACGCAGTAGAGAAGTCAAGGGAGTGCAACTCATAGTCTCGGTGTGCTGCTACGTGCAGTAACACCTGAAGAGTAGTCATCTTCGGGGTCGGGGCGAAGGTCTGGAAGAAGTCAACTCCCTCACGCTGACTGAAACCCCTAGCCACGTAGCGCGCCTTGAACACAGGCGGTGAACCAGGCGGCCGCTTCACCTTGAAGAGCCACATGACATCGACTACGTTCGCCCTGGGAGGGGGAACTGCGTCGACGTACGTGCCTGTGGATCTCCAAGACGCTAACTCCGAGGCCATAGCCGCTTTCCACTGTGAGGCCCACGCCCCTGACACTGCCTCGCGGTAAGTACGAGGAGTCGGTATGTCAAGGGCGTCGGGGTCTCCCTTAGGGGATAGCAGCATGGCACAGATAGAGGGAGAAGCAGCTGCCTAGTATTCCAGCTCTGACTCTCTGTCCTCTAGGACGTCACAGCCAAGGGCAAACTCATCCCCGACGGACAGAGGACGGGAGGGAGGAGCGGGCACCACACGGGTGGTGTAGTCAAGGCGACTGGCGGCAGCAAACTCAGCGACAGCGGCAGTGAGAGCCGAGACAGACAACCGAGGGAAACGAGAGTCGGTGACAAGAGTGGCGAGGACACGAGAGACAACAGGACGAACAACGCGGTAGTAGTCAGTGACAGGAGTAGGGGGGAAAGGGAGAGAGGACGGAGGCGGAGATGGGAGAACGGACTCAGGAGGAGGACGACGAAGAGACGAACAAAGGAGGGCAGTGCGGAGGTCGGTAACGGGAGACGAGTGACGAGCACGCGGAGGACAGGGACGGACACGAGAGTGTGGGACACCAGGTGGAGGAGACTGTGGTGGAGGAGAAGACCAGACCGCCGGACTGTCGTCAGGAGGAGGAAACGTGGGACCAAACGCTAGAGGGGACAGAGTGTGAACAGGAGGAGAGGAGGGAAGACCAAGGGCCCGAAGGCCACTCACGGGTGGGAACAACTGCCGCTCCAGAGGGAGCTGCGGTGGGCGCGGCTGCGGCGGCGGTGTCTGCTGCTGCGGCGGCTGCTGCTACTGCTGCTGCTGCTGCTGCTGCTGCTTCTGCTGCTGCTGCTGCCGCTGCTGCTCCAGCAGGTCCAACTGCCGCAACTCCTGCCGCTCCCTCTCCAACAGCACCTTCTCCTCACGCTCACGCCGACGGGCCGCCTGGAGACGTGTGTCGTGGCGGTGGGGAGGCGGAGTGGACTCCGCAGAACCAGTGTCTCCAGCTCCAGTCTCCTCAGAACCAGCACCTCCAGTGCCAGCGCCTCCAGCACCAGCACCCCCAGAACCAGCACCTCCAGGACCAGCACCCCCAGAACCAGCACCTCCTGTGCCAGCACCTCCAGCTCCAGCACCCCCAGAACCAGAACCGCCAGTGCCAGGACCTCCAACTCCAGCACCCCCAGAACTAGCACCTCCAGTGCCAGCACCTCCACCTCCAGCACCCCCGGAGCTAGCGCCACCTGCGCCAGCACCTCCAGCTCCAGCACCCCCAGGACTAGCACCTCCAGTGCCAGGACCTCCAGCTCCAGCACCCCCAGGGCTAGCGCCACCTGCGCCAGCACCTCCAACTCCAGCACCCCTCGAACGAGCACCCCCGGACCGAGTACCGCCAGTGGCGGCACCTCCAGCTCCAACACCAACCGAGTCCACAGTAGCGTGTCGCGGAAGTACCGAAGGCTGCTGAGGGGACTGTGAGGAGGACTGCGGGGAGGGAGACGCTACCTGACGCGCGACCGAGGGTAGAGGGGTAGCGTGAGACACACCTGACGGGGCAGGACCAGGGGTGGGTGGGGGTACCGGAGGAGCGGGAGCAGGGGGAAGAGAGGGTGCGAGGAAAAGGGGGGGAGGGGGAACCGGGAGACCTCGACAGGGGTACCAGGTGTAGTAGGACACTGACTCGTCGAACCGGACGTCACGTGATTCTAGGAACTGGTGGAGGGGCGGGTGGTAAAAGGACCAGTCGGCCGAGGCTACCGGGAAGCCAAGGAAGACACAGGGGACGGCGCGAGCCGAGAGCTTGTCCGCAGAGGTGTCGCGGACAAGCGCAAGGCAGCCCCAGACACGAAAAGCTGACCCAACACCAGGGGACCCGGTCCAAAGACTGGTCGGTGAAGCCTCTGGCCGCGAGACGCGCGGCTGGAGGTTCAGCTGGTGAGCGGCGTAGCGAACCGCGTAGGGCCACAGAAAATGGGGCGCACGGGCATGAATCATGGACGTGCGGGCGATGTCCATGACCAAGCCAATGCGGCGCTCAGCAACCCCATTCTGCTGCGGGGACTCCTGGGCACGGGAGGGTGGTCGAGCTGCGAGCAACTGCTGGTCCTGAAGTAGGATCAGCCAGGGCAACTGGGACTGGAGCCGAAAGAGGTGTGACAGTGGTGTGGTCGCGGAAGAAGCACTGAGACGCGCCGGAGTCCAGCGTGAAGGAGAGCGACGCAACAGCAGTCGTCACGGCCGGGCTAGTGACTACACAAGCACCTACACTAAAAGCACAAGTACCGACACTAGCAACAGGCAAAGGTCCTAAGCTAGGTACACGTAAGCCAAGAGATCCGTACGTGACAGAATAAACAGCATCCATAGACATATCAAACACAGGGTAACCACTACAAAACAGACCGGGCCAGATCGGGGAAGCCGACTCAGGCCCAAAACGCTCACGATAAAGGTCGTCGAGGCGGCTGTAGCAGCGCTGTGCAGAGTGGTCAGGACGCCAGCAGGTAGTGCCAGCACCAGGGCCGGTCAGGATCCGGTACCGGCAGGGGCCGACGTCGCGGTCACCGCGACGAGCCCCCCAGCTGGCTGGGCTGCTGCTGCAGCCAACGCGACCTGAACCACCAGGCCCCCACGGCTGCTGAGGGCGCCACAGCTGCTGAGGGCGCCCCTGATGCTGCGGAAGCCACTGCTGAAACGGCCGCTGCTGCTGTCCCTGCTGCTGGAGAACCCTAGTGGACTCCATGATAAAAGCTAGCGGGGTGCAGGAGCGGCAGGCTAGGAGTGACAGGAGCTAGGGACGGCTGCAGTGAAAAACG